CATATTGTCGTGATGTTAGAAAGAGATATTCCGAGGATGCGTAAATGGAATTTTAAAAACTTGAATCATTATATTTATTAGTAAATTCTTGTATGCATGTAACAATGTGATCGCTGTGATCTATATATATATATATACATATATAATGTATAAGGAATATTATTTTTGTGTAAATATGGTTATATGTAATGATTATATATCTCTAATACAATATGTTGAAATTTATTTTAACGTTAATATTCAATCTTTTTATTATTACCGCCCTCATTTTGTAGTAAGAAAGACGTTTTATCAATATGAATAAAGTCTACCATTCTTCTCCTTCCTTATATTTCAGTAGCAAATATTTGATGTCTACACATTATATGTTAATACACGCGTGCATAATACCTACTGTGGACTTAATGAATCATGTTGAAGAATAGAATCATAATAGCAAAAATAATTTTTTATTTTATTTATTTATTGTATAACAAAGCAATTTGTAGCAAATGCTGCGTAAAGCTTGACTTTTTTTCATGACATCGTGGTATCGTGTTATATGATAGATAAGCGACAAAAAGTTCTCGCAAGATAACGATCTTGCCAAATATAAGTATATAAAGGAAGAAAGAGCATTATGAATAATGTTAACGAAAGAATAATTTATATAGGCCTTTCAAATGATACAAATGCCACTATTATCCTGAACTGTTTACTCCGAACAAATAAAAAAAATTTGCGTGTACAGATATTTATGTATACAATAAGGAATTTCTCATATATCAATAGAAATTTATTGTTCTGCGTTAATAGTAGCAATTGCAAGAAATTTCTCTTTAGAATTTTTATATTATAATATAATTTATAAACATTATAGATATATAAATTAGAAATCAACAACCGATCGAAATCGAAAACACTGTCAATAGAAATAGATGTTGAGCTAAGCATGAATCATATGCACACATATCAACGAAATTATGTCATGTCGGTATGAATCATATGCACGACTACAATTTTATCGTAAGCAGAAATAAAATTGGAAGCCATCGTACAATGGACAAAGAAAACATTCGAAACTGATCTATAAAATCTAGAAACTTCTCCTTTTGTTCTTTCCTTTCTAACAACTTAGTCTAATGCATATTCTAATAACCTCGAGAAATCAATTTCTCTTATAGTATATTTGGAAAGACTGATTATCTTAACGCAATAAAAAAATGTTTGAATAAGAAATTCCATGATAAATAAGAAAGAAAAAAAAAACATTATCTTTAATACTGTGTATGTTTGATTCAAAGTATGATATAAATATCAAGATTTTTCCTCGTGTGTGTAATAATTATTTAAATATAAAAAGTCCAATTACGATACAACATACGTATAAATGTTTTGCTCTCGTATGTTCAAAATGACATTATGTGTATGTGTGTGTGTCGCTATATTCTATATATATATTTTTTTTTCCTTTTTTTTTACTTGTACGCTTTGCACGCGGCAACAATAACCAAAAATCGCGTTATAAAAGAAAAANATGTATGGGAAATGGTGCGGAACAATGCAAAATAATAGACAAACGTGAGGACGCGTGTGAAGATAGCGATATGAAGGAATTATATCACTCATATCACCTAATCAGACCTGTCGAGAAACATTGGTGAAGACGCGATTCATCTAAAATACAAAGTATATTCTATAAAAGTATGTTCTTTGCGTCACCTTAAACTGTCCACTCAATAGACTTTCCGCAATACAGAATATTATCTTGGCAGTACCTTCACTCAGCCTTAGTAATGTAATAAACGTAGCTTTTGCAAAATACGCTTGTGGGTGTAAAAGGAAGGATGTCATTGTGTGGAATATTCCCAGTTTCGCATGGGTGTATCTCTCGTGTCTATTCCTCTTTCTCTTGGTCGTCGGATTTCTCTTCATTTTTATCGCCACTATCTTCAGCATGTTCGCCTTCGTCGCTAGTGATAGTTTTGGCGGCGCTATCTACTTCAGTTGGTTTAGACTCATCTAATTCTTTATTCTCGCTTTCTAGGGTTGTCCTTTCTGGTAAACTAGAGCAGATCGTTACTTTATGTCGTCGTGTTTAAGATCAACTTTTTAAGCGAAATCTACACACACACACACACACACACATTTTAATGTATTTCTGTGTATTCGTTTATCGTAATATCAATTACCTGTCAGAGGGTACTACACCCGCATCCTTATCTGTGGAAGGCTGAAAGAGACAAATTAAGGATGTTAGATATGTAACTATAATACAAATTTAGTAACAAGGTCATCAGGCTACAGTATAAGCGTATGCACGTGAAGGAAATGAAGTGATTTTATGCACAGCGCTAACAAAGGATCTTTTGTTACTACAGAATGGCAAAAACATCTGTTAATTCGTCCATCACTAAGTCCATCGTACGGCGTGCTTTCTAAAGCTTTATAAATAGTACGTATAAAAATGCGCTTTGTCACACGTTGTACGTGTCATACAATAAACATGAGTACAGTCATTGCTATTTCTGTTTTGGCGCTTCCGAATTCTTTCTCTCAAAGGGACGGCACACCGAGTGCGTGTTTCAAACGTATGCTGACGAAGCTTTCACGATTTTTAGCACCGCAGTTAAACGAAGAGACGATATTACCTCCCGGCTGGAAGTATTTCCATTCTCTTGGATTTCGTCATTCTGAGATTTCGAGTCGAGAGTGATCTCCGCGGTGCTGACCGCCGTCGTCACCTTTAGAAATTTTTCCAACTCGTCTATTTCGTTCGCTAAGTCAAAGTCTTCGTAATCCTGCAAAATTCAGCTGTACATATATCGAGTGTGTGTATGTGTTGGAAACGTATCTTCTAATTATTTATTTATCCATAGCTTGCTGTGCACGTGTGCAATGTACTCGTGAAGTCAACACAGCAGTGCAACACACGCATAAAATTCAAACTGCTTAAAGGAAGAGATAGTTACTCCACAATAATCATCCTCGTTGAATATTTGTGGTGGCAATGGATACTTGTTGGTCCTCGCGTTGCTATTGGTTTGCATGAACTCTTTCTCCAATTCCTTGCCTGGCTCCGTTATGTCGATGATCTCGTACTCCACATTCTTACTATCTAGGATCATCATCACACGCTGTTGCCTCTTCTTCACCTGTGACACATTTACAAGTGATTACGAGTGAAAAGCTGACGCTAGAGAAAGTGAAAATTAAGACAGAAATTAACATTAATCGTTAATGGGCACACACGAAACTTCCTCCCGTGTCACATATGCAATAGCTTCTATTCAAGTCAACGCATAGTTTCTGAGAGGAGAAAAAGTTCCCTCATGCATATAATGGACTCACCCAGCTGATTGCAATCAGCTATCTATAACTTTCTACATCTGACCTTTGTAATAATGAAATCTGTGTAACGCACATATCATTAAGTTCTACAAATACATAAATTTCTTATCAATGATAACAGCTGTCAAAGTGATAATACACTACTATCAGCATCTGCAAGAAGTATATTCACGGTACATTTAAGGCTAGAAAAAAGGCTCGAGAAAGATCATGATCACAGGGGAAAGCTCATTTTGCTAAGACGATGCTCGGTCACATATGACAAATTTGTTGACTTCGAGAGTCGTTGCTCTGAATTTATCCAAACAAACAGACCGCGACGGGAGCCCCCACGGCTGCTAATAAATCGGCACAACGCCGCCGTGCAGCTTCCCAGTCGAAAGAAACGGTTCCGATTAGACGAGCTCGTGAGTGCGCGTCTTATCGGCCGATCATTCGTTTCCAAATGACAGCCCCGCTCGTTTCGGAGCCGCGCGAGAGCGTGCTCGATACAAATAGTGTTCGCGTTGTAACCCGATACAGCGTCGTCGACATCGTCGTCGTCGACGACGACTGCTGCTGCCCGATGCGGTATCAGAGTTCAACCCGCATGCACCTATACGTCGTCTCGTTACGAGTATCGCGACATCACAGGCCGCCGCGAGAGCTGCCGCTCACTCACTTCCTTGTTGCCGCTGATACCCGATATGTAGATTTTCACGACCATCGTTGGTTGGACCACCGGCTGGTTGGCTAGCTGGCTGACTGATTCTGCGACTCGACGCACCCTCTCCTCGCTGCACCTGCGCTGCGCTGCACTGCGCTCCGATTAGGCGGCGTACCGGACGTATGTACGACGACGACGACGACGGACAGACAGCGGATGGGAGGACGACGACGGAACAGAACACTACCACCAACCGGTCGCTCGCGGCGCTCGTTATTAGACGCTTACACGCTGACGCGTAACGCACTGATTTAACGAGCGAGACGGCCGGCCTAGTCCGGGCTTCGCAGCCTGTCTGGTCTTCTACGTCATATCAGGCCGGTTCTCTCTGTCTCCCTTTCTCTCGCTTCTTTCCTCTCGTCGAGAGCTCAGGGATGAATAATAATTTTATTAGCGTACCTACGCCGCGGCGAACTCGTCGGGAAATGAAGGGAGGAAGAGAGAGAGAGAGAGAGAGAAAAAGAGTGCGCGTGGAAACTGATTCGTAGCAACGTCGACTTTTCCGGCAATTGTCCGTCGCTCCGTTACGTAACGCGCGTTACAATAATGTTACGTAATTAATATGCACTTTTGGGGACTGTATATTGAAAACTAGACGAACGTAGAGATCGTCGTTCTCGTTATTTCACCTTTCCTCGGAGTGTCGACAACTTACGGGGAAAGATTTACTTGCCGGCGGCGTATACGTTCCTGCATCAGATAAGTTATTGATAATCCGCTGTGTTTGACCAGCGCGTGTTTGAATAGCAAATTGATTTTTCAAAAGGTATCTTTCCGGCGAAATACGTAACATGTCTGAAGTACGATGTGAGAATAAAACCTGTTCTGATATACCGTTAAGATGTACTATTTTAAAATTCCACGAGCTCTAATTTCCCTAAAAATAACAGTAACGAGATGGTTTGAAAAGCATTTTACAGTCAGGAGCCTATATTTTACAGATATTATTCTGAATCTGAAATTTAATTAACTTTTGCAGTGTTATATGAATATAAATAATGATCCGTCAAATGTTAAAAGTTTTGATGAAGTTTGTTGAGTTGCACCATATGAATAAAAAATCAGAGAAAAATCACACTCATCTTAATTGAAAGCGTGAATCTTCCTCTTTTATTTGCATACTCGCAAATCTAATATAACTTTCCTTTCGCCAAGTTATTTAATGCTGAAGTGACAATAGTATTTTGACTTTGACCACTTATACTAGACAAACAATAAAAGGCATGACGTTTGCTAAACAACAACGAATGTAAAGCTGATAATTTTCTCTGTAAAATATATGTATTATATTTTTCATAAAAATACATTTTGGATGTGAAAACTTAACTGGAAAATGAGATTAAAAATAAACAGTCGCAATTTTTCATTTTACTCAATATTTCCTTACGATGAATAACAGTAATGATATGAATGTAAGAATGTAAGATTTATGAAAAATAGAGAAGTCAAGTTTTAAAATGCTTTTCGTACCATTTCATTATCACTAGTTCTGTCGAAGTTACAGCTTATTGAATTTTACAATATTCCAAAATAAACGAAAATGTGTCTACCCAGTCGTTGAGTCATACTACTTGCTGATGAAGTGTCTGATTTATTGTTAAGTTGTACCACGACTTCAATTCCTCAGGACTGCGTGCCAAAACCCTATTTGCAAGTAAAGTAACATTTAATTGATCAGTCAGAACAAAAAGAGCAAAGCATTCTTTATCACGATTAATTAATTATTGCTACTCTACCCGTCGAAAATTTTAGAACGCAGCCCAATGAGTATGGTCTCGCCTCGTAGCGGAGACTTGAGAATTAAAAGTTAACGCCATATGTTCAAGACGAGCCTTTTTTCAACCAACATTTATTGATTATTTAATTAAATGTCAATTTCAAATCAAGTCAAGTCAAATTCAAATCCTTCTAATGAGATCGAACTTTAACAAACCCTCCACCGGCAATAGGGAAACTTGAAGACACAATCGATTCCTCACTTATGAATTTTGGGATAAGTAGTAGATGACGGAAGGATTCGGTATCCTCTCCTAAAAAATTATAGATTTTTGGTACCGGCACAGTCAATTTTTTAACGCAGCTTATGTGTATGTAAAGACATCAGTATTTGTCGGTTGCTGTCAATATTTAGCTGTTCGTTTTCTAATAAGGACAAGTGAAACTCGTAAACAATAAGGACGCGTTTGCATCCTCAGCGACCTAAGTTGCAAATCACGTGAGTATTTTCGTAAATCAATAGCTTGGATTTTTTTCATGTTTTTATACGATCCCAATTTCATCCTTTTCATGTTTTTACATGTTCCCAATTTCAATGAATAAAAATATAAATCTTGCCTTTAAAATAAATTTTTCGATACAATTTTCCGTTTTACATAATTTTTTCATTGGTCTCAATAGGTACATAAAATTTTTTTTTTATAAATAGATTTTGTGATGTTTTACATATCTTTTAAGTTAATTTTAATAAAAAAAATTTTGTTAATAGATTTTCCAAAGATGTCGGAAAGAGATGGAGTACAGCTTTTATATCTAATGTACGAGCTTCATCATAATGTACTTTGCTGCGAACTTTCTGATGAAGAAAATGATCATGTGGAGATTGAACATGAAGAAAATGACGAGCAGGATGCTGATGAGGATGCAGACTTTGATCCACGGACAGAACATGCCTCTGATGATGAAGATAATAAATTGGGACCTAGATCACGAGAAAATAGTCGAGGTCGTCGTCGGTCCTTTTTAAAAGGGAAAGATAACTTTGTGTGGTCTACGAATGCACCTGAGACACAGGAACAGACCTCGATGAAATTGTACCAGCCTTCAGCTAAGTTTGAGGCAAAAGATGTAACTACACCATTGGAAGCTTGGTCGTTGCTATTCTCACTAGATATTTTGGAAATAATCGTGCAATACACCAATGAGGAGATACAAAGGAAGAGAGAAAATTTCTCATATCAGCAATACTATGGCAATACAGATATTGCAGAATTGAAAGCCTTCCTAGGATTGTTATATTTCAGTGGTTTTACAAAAAATAATCATTCGAATATTGAAGATATGTGGTCATCCCGATTTGGTTGTACTTTGTATAAAGCTGTCATGACACAACATCGTTTCACATTTTTGTTAACGTGTCTTCGTTTCGATGACAGAAAAACAAGAAACGAACGAAGAGCCGAGCATGCGTTAGCACCAATAAAAGAGATTTGGGATTTATTTATTGATAATTGCGCGAAATATTATTCACCATCGACGAATTGTACGATCGACGAGCAATTGCTTGGATTTCAAGGGCACTTTGAGGCGCGAGTATACATGCCGAGCAAACTCGAAAGGTACGGTATTAAAATTGTTAGTTTAAACGATGCACAAACGTCATACATGGTCAATGCTGAGCCTTACGTCGGAAACGTGACAGTAAATGGATCGGAGAGTATGTCGAGTTATTATATTCGTAAATTGTCCGAGCCACTATACAATACCGAACGTAATATTACCTGCAACAATCGGTTTACGTCCGTCGAAATTGTACAGGACATGAAGAAGAAATATTCTCTGACAATGGTTGGCACCTTACGGAAAAACAAACGAGAAATACCTACATCGTTCACGCATACGGCTTCAGCCGGCACTGTTCGTTTTGCATACACGAGTGATAGTACTTTGGTGTCCTACTGTCCTAAAAGAAATAAAGTTGTTCTCTTAATCTCAAGTTTACATAAAACTGGAGAAATAGATAAAAATAGCGGTAAACCGGAAATAGTATTATTTTACAATTCTACAAAAGGAGGCACAGACACCTTTGACAAGCTATGTAAAACTTACTCAACAGCTCGCATCACTCAGAGATGGCCTTTACGGCTATTTTTTGGTATGCTCGACCAAGCTAACGTTAATGCCGTCATATTATTCAATTTGAGGCGAGCTAATTCAGCTTTGAATCGTCGGAATTTCTTGAAGGAGTTAATATTAACATTGACGCAGCCTCATCTCGAATCTCGATTGCGAAATCAACGTTTACCGAGAAATATTAAAAACACGATTCACGAAATGCTCGGGATTGAAGAAGCTCCTAAAGAAAGAGTTGATAAACTAGGAAAACGAAAAAGATGTTCAACTTGTAGAAATGATAGAAAGACTATGTATTGCTGTGCGCTGTGCGCTACGCCAGTATGCGAAGAGCATCGTACGCATTATTGTAAAGACTGTGCCATATAAATATTTTGTTTTTATGTATTTTTAAATATGTAAATTGATGAAAATAAACGTAATTTAATGATTAATCTGTTATAAAAATAATTTCTTTTCTCGAATAAAACTTAATTCTCTTTCTGCCAAAACTCTTCATTTTCAGATGTTCAAATAATTTAACTTTCTTTTGAAGCCAACATTATTATACTATTTTTCTTTCAAAAAATACCCTCAAGTATCATAGCCTAAGAGGATTCTTTTTTTATTCATTCATAAAAGTTATGAATTTTTCAATGTTTTGCTCCGATTTCGACCTACGAGAGATAAATAAAATACAGTCCGACTTATACAATGGTAAAAATTCGTTATTCAAGCTTTTACAAGTATGAGAATTTTTAAAATTTTTATACAATCCGAAATACATTGTAAAAACAGTTGTTTCAGAGTAATCGATTTTCGAAAGTTGGATGTGATTGGCAGACAAAGTTATATTTATCTACCAATCATAGATAATTACTCTACAGTTATACAACTATTGTATTAGCTGAACATAACTAAAGATCAATAGGACAAAAGGAAATGTATCAGAACTAGGCCTGGATAGCTTCAGTTGATAGAGAGAACAATTGCCCAACAAGTGAAAGGTCCTGAACTTGATTCTTGGCTCAGCAACATCAAGCTTCTGTTATATTTCTTACAAGTTATTTATAATTAATGTATATATATTGTAATCATATATACATAGTTAATCGGTGATCTAAGACCTAGGTCTTTCCTTCTTTTCTTTATACAGAGCAAGTAAGGATACGTTCGCAACTTTAACCACTTTAAAACGTACTCCCGGAATATCACCAACCGCATGTCCTTTACGGCCGAATCCCGCCACTAAAACCTCATCGTTTTCTTCAATGTTGTTGAGGCAACCATCTCTTGGTACAAAAGCAGTGATTTTCTTGCCATTTTTAATTAATTGCACTCTAACACACTTGCGGATGGCAGAATTTGGTTGTTTGGCTTCTACTCCTCTGTGTGAGAACAAAAACAAAGATATAAGTGAATCAACCTAATTCTAAAATCAGATACAAATTTACATACTATTGTTTGATCATATTATTACATACACTTTTTCCAAAACTATGCCTTTAGCATGAGAGGCACCACCGAAAGGGTTGGCCTTCCATCTAGTTCCTAAATGTGCCTTTTTATAGTCTTTATCATTCCATCGCTGTTCACGTCTGTGATTGACATGTTTACGTGCTGTGCGAAGTCCTCTGGGTTTACCTTATAATATAGAAATAAGTGAATTAGGTTAAGTCAGGTTATATACGACTATTTACATTAAATATGTATCAAGTATACATTTTTTTAAATAAAATGTCTTTAAACAATAAATATTGTGTTACGTAGTGATGATTAGCAATAATATTTGTGAAGATTTGATTACATACAATAACCAAATGATGATGCCTAGAAAGGATTTTTAAATATGTTTGTATTCATAAATATTAAACAAAATGTACTACGTGAAAGAGGATCCTTTTTCAAAATTATATATATATATACATATATACATGATATTTTTATAAATATTTTATAAAATGCGGTAGTTGAGTATGGTAGTAACATACCCATGTTGGCAACAAACGTTGGAACTGAGAGAGATAATTTGGTATATTTCGGTTTTATTTACTTATAGTGACTACGTTCCGATATTCACTGCTAGTACTATGGGGGAAAGAAATAACAGGAGGAAATGTAAATGCCGGTCCACAATAGGTATTTTAAGACTCCAGCCTAAAGAAATTGGCCAATCACAGTCGAACGTGAAGAGAATAATTAACTGTGATTAGTCAATTGTTTAAGGCTTAAAATACCTATTGTGGAACGACACAATGGCTTCTGTCCATAGAACGCGGCAACATTTGTCGCGCGGCGAAATTTCGTGCGGTAGCCAATAAACTTATAATTCTTGCCGAAAAACGACATGTTGATTAGTTACTGCGCGAGGGCAGAAGCCATTAGAGCTGAAAGTACCCGTTGTAGACCGGAACTAACGCAAAGTTCTCACGCGAGGTGGCATAAGGGAGCGTAAGGTAGCATAAGGTCCTAAACCTGCAAACCTTGCTTACACATTGCTTCACGTTACTTTTCCTGCGGATCTCTCTGTGGAACGTCGTCTTATCGTGCTTCTCTCGAATTACCTTGGACATAATGGTAACTGAAATTCTCTTCTTAATATTAATATTATTCATTAAATTCAATCATATTAAATACAAATTTATAGTTGAAATTGAACGAAAAAGTAGGATGTCTATTTTCTAGACGGATTTATTATCGCTTCGTCGTAACATGCTTCGTGAAGAAGTGCATATATTTTCTAATTTCCTATGATTTTGTTATGTTATTTATCTTTATGTATTGTGTATATGTGGCATGCGCGCACGTAATTTTTAGAATAAATAATTTATTTTATATATATATATGTATATATCACTTTTTCATCTGTGATATTTCATTACACAAGGTCGTAGATAATTTTCACCATGTTTGCGATACTTCTTCACAAATTACTCAAATATAATATCTAATTGGTGATTTCTATCACAGCTTCAGCTTTTATTGATCAGAAATATGAAAAAAAAGCAGTAGTTATATTCTGCAATGATTGTGAAGACAAAACATATGTATGTTGAATATGTTTCAACATATGTTGCGTAGTATATCTGTGAGATATTGCAATCATCCATGGATAAAAAATATTAAGATTAACGGGGGGATAAATCATTTAAAACATGATACTTTTATTCGTAGTTCTCATTTCTATGATTTTTTTTACATAGGGTTTCGTCAAAGTAGTAAAAAATAAACAGTACTTCAAACGGTACCAAGTTCAATTTAAGAGGCGCCGACAAGGAAAGACTGATTATTATGCTCGTAAGAGATTGACGATTCAAGATAAAAATAAGTACAATACTCCTAAATATAGGTTGATTGTACGGTTGTCTAATAAAGACATTACTTGTCAGGTAAATAGAGAATGGTATACTTCAATTTATTTGAAGATATTCTGTATTAAACTTTATCACAATTCACATAAATCCTATACTATATATAACTAATAATATATATTATATTACAAGGTCGCTTATTCAAGAATCGAAGGCGATAAAATTGTCTGTGCAGCTTATAGCCATGAACTTCCTAGGTACGGAGTAAAAGTTGGTCTCACCAACTATGCATCTGCATACTGTACTGGTTTACTTTTGGCAAGAAGGGTAAGTCATCCTCTGCCTGCTGTTCAAAGTATGCTCATAAAAACATGATATAAAACGATCATTAACATGATGATAATCTCAGCTCGCTTTGATATTCCGCTGAAGAAAACTTGTTCCCTGTTATTGTTATAATCTGATGATAAATATCAAATATTTGTAAAATAAAATCAAGAAATCAGTCAATGTTGAAATTCGATCATATTTCTTTTTTAATAGCTGCTGAAGAAATTAGGGCTGGATACCTTGTATGTTGGTAATACAGATGTAAATGGGGACGAATATAATGTTGAAGGATTGGATGATGGCCCAGGAGCTTTTAGATGTTATTTAGACACTGGTTTGATGCGCACTACAACGGGCGCACGAGTTTTTGGTGCCATGAAAGGTGCAGTTGATGGTGGCCTCAACATCCCTCATAGGTAATAAAGAAATTATTGTTACTTTCTCTCCGTTTGTTACTATATTGAACTAACGATGAATCAACATTACTATTTTTGCTACAGTGGCAATATAAAAGTTTCATGCTAGGACGTGATAAGATAAAATGTAACGATGTTTTCAAAATATTTTATTATTTAACTATAGTTGTTTTTTTAACGACTTTATATCACTTTGTTTAACAGTACTAAGAGATTTCCGGGCTATGACAATGAGTCAAAGTCGTTTAATGCGGATGTACACAGGCAACATATATTTGCCCAACATGTTGCCAATTATATGAGAACTCTTGAAGAAGAAGACGATGAAGTCTTCAAGAAACAATTTTCGCAGTACATTAAGCATGGGATTTCTGCGAATGACGTAAGTTGTTGAAATATAATTTTGAATGATATTTATATAAAGCATAAATTCGTAAAATATACGTCCAACTTATAATTGCTGCTTAAATTATAATTTTATACAGCGTCGCGGTTGGACAATAGCAATTTTCATTGGTTTATATGTGATGAATGCATGCGTCAATGCAAATGCACTTTTGAAGATAAACCTACATTACACTACTTCTACCATTCATATGTATATAGGCGTGAAACTAACATAAACAAATATTTTATTTTCTTAGATCGAAAATATCTATAAAAAAGCTCATGAGGGAATTCGAGCTAACCCTGAACACCAAAAAGTTGTGAAAGATAAAGAGCCAATTAAAAAGAGGTGGAACAGGGCAAAACTATCGCTCTCAGAAAGAAGAAATCGTATATCCCAGAAGAAGGCCTCTTTCCTCCGAACACTTGAAGAAACTGAAACTTAATTTTTGTTCGGCTGGGTTATACAAATTACTTAATAAACAATATTTATGAATAATAAGAGTGAATACACATACATAACGAATTCATGTTTTAATTGTAATATATACAATATAAATAATGGACGTGTTTTTCTTTATACCATAATGTTTAAATTAAGTTTGAAATAAAAAAATTTTGATAATTTTGATTAAGATTTAATTTTGTTGTGTAATTAATAATCGCATTCTTTTATGTACTTGTATTTTTTGGGGCAGATCTAATACTGAATATAATCGTAACAAGGATATGACAGTAAGTATTCAATCTTGCACATCTCGTTTTCTTTCCGTTTAACGGTAAAAGTTTTTCGTTTCTCTGTTTCGTGCTGCTGAACAATAAATAATTATCTTTTTTAAGTTTAACATCCTCTGATATTGCATATATAAAATCTAAATGTTAATTACTCAGTATATCAAATATAGAATACATTACAAATACATAAAAACTAAGGTCATCGATTGTGATGTAATTGTTCCTTTTAACACATAATTTATCACTCGTAAAATATTACGAGATTAATTCACAGCAGTTTTTGAAGTTATAGTCCAGATTAATTAATTACATAGATATATATACGTACTATTTTACATCGTATAAGATTTAATTCAATATATAATTGGATATTAAATATTCAAATTATTCACTAAATGTAGTTGTGAGTGTCATTTATTTAGAATAAAAAGGCAGGCACGATTTTAACGGAAAAGTGACAATCTGCTACGAGAACCAGGTAACCGACCTTGCGCATCGACCAAGCCGCTCTGAACATCTGACAAAGAAGGGATGGTTTTTACTTCACCGCGTGCTGCCATGCAAGGTGGCGACTTCAATAAACGCCGTGTTACTCTATTAATATCGTCCTTGGATATTCCTTCTATAAATATAATTTTTTTTATAAATATTGTGTGTGTGTTTTTTTACAAAAGAAATTAGAATTTTTTTTTAAATTTATATTAGAGCTTTGTGACTTACCGATGGCTTGTATGAAATATTCTGAACGTTTCCTGGAACCAGTTGCCAAGACTTGCCTACCTATATCTTCAAATGCCACAGGCCGTTGTTCCAGGTTCATAAGTAGCATTGATTGCAGTTGCTTTTTTGCTCTCTACATCAAGGATAGACATTACATGATTATCAAATAAAATAACAATTTAATAACATTTAAAATTAATTTATATCTGAGTGTGACTCTTTTCTTTTAGTTATTTTACTTTCTTTACAATCATACGTACTCTGTTTATGTCGATATGTGCTAATAAGACGTGGCTTACAATGGGCAGTAGGAATATGTTTACAAGAAGTAAGAGATTAACTAATCATAGTCGATTATTCTCCTTACATTCGAATACGATTGGTCAATTCCTTCCTTATTTTTACTTCTTACAAACATACTCCTACCGCCTATTGTAGACTACGTTTAACGTGTATAAAGAATAATGTCTTGCATTATTTTGATAACTACTTCAAGAATAGATATTCAACATAATCGTACCGCCAATTCATTGTCCGTGACTCCGTTCGACATTGCGACCATTTCCTGTACAATTACTTCTACCATTTCTTTCACGTGAGGTGGTGTACATGAGGCGTGGATGCAAAATAATCCGGTATCAGCATAAGCATGATTGTATGCTGTTGCACTATACAACCAATGATACCTGCAACATTAATTGCTTAGAGTGATATTCACAATTTTTTCTTTCTCACCTTACATCTAAATAGAGAATACAGAAGGATATAAAGCGAACTGTGCCTTACCTATTTAATACATTCGTGTACAAACGTGTGTACATGCCTTTTCCCGGACCGCCCGCGCTAAAACTGCCACCACCTCCCATCATCATATTCAACACGCACATAGCAACAAAATCAGAATCATGATGGGAACAGCCCTCTAGACCTATAACAACGTGTGACAATTCAGGCAAGCCACTAGGTCCTGCGTAAATCGGCACATTGCATTCCTCCTGTTGAAGATATAAAAGTCTATTTTATTAGTGTTACAATAAAGAAATTAGTTGTTTCAATACAAAATATGTGAATGACCATACCGAAACGTATCCGCCCGTATATTGTGCAGTGGACCCATCGACGTTATTTTCATTATTTGGCAGAATAAGATCGGTCTGTTCTTCCCAAATAGGTTTTTGATCCACAAAGTATCTACATGAAAGATAATGCTATTAAAGCGTTTAGATAAAAAAAATTCAAGTTCTTAAAAATATTTTGAAAGCATAGTATCAGAATGCGCTCTACTTATTTCAGAAAATCTATTGAATTATCTTTGAATTATTTTGTTACCATCTACTGAGAATTTACGGCTATTACTTATTAACGACGTGGACCAAATCTTCATGTTCAACGCCAACTCCAGCAACTACCATTCTACTTGGTATATAATGATACTTGAGATACGTGTGCAATGTTTTCCTGTCGATTTTTTCAATATTCTTTTCTGGACAGATCTTAGGCAAGCCTAATGTGTTGGATTTATATGCGGCCTAACAGAACATTTATTTATAATTATATCTTTTCCATAACATTATATATATATTTTTTTTTCTAATATTATACCTATTATTAGTAGAAATTGGAACTTACGGCATGAATCATGTCCATTAATATGGGCTCTTGCTCTGGTCTAGTATGTAAAGATTCCAATTCAAATTGTACTGTTTGTTTAGCAATTTGTACCTGAAAATGATAATTTTAATTTATACAGATATGTCATACATACAAATATCGTGTAATCTTAAAATATTATAATATAGGTTTTAATCTGGGTAAATTAATTAATTACTGATTAAGTGATAAAGTACAGAACAGTTTACATTACAATATATTACATATATACCTCTTCATCTGTAATTTGAGGTCTTAAAACAACATCACCCAGAACTTGAGTCACTAAATCCAACCCACGACGTTGTGCCGATGCTGCGTAAATAAATGTGTCTCTAGATGCTTGACAATCACATATAGCACCATGTTTTTCCAACGCTAACATTATCTCATCCTTGCTGCTGTATGTGTTTGTAGACTGAAACAAGCGATACAACATAGTATTGCATTTTTAATAGAGAGAACATAAATTATGCATTTATTTGAGGATTCTTTAGTAGTCCATAAAAAAATGGCTCTTTATTTTAGCGGACTTAAAAGTATATATAGCAGAATTATACTAGCTACAAGAATATGTCAATAAACTATAATTTGCTTGCCATGTATTAAAAGTATTATAGCAATATTTAATCTTACACCGAACGCCAGTTTTTCAAGAAAATGTGAGATACCATTGGGATATGCCACTTCATATCTTGGACCCGAATCGATAAGAACTAAAAAAAAAACGCATGTATTAATGTATGTATATGAGAGAGAATTCAGATAAATATAATGTAATTATATCGGTTGCATACTGATATACAGAATCTATATCTCATAGTTTAACTTACCACCTATAGTGCAAAATTGTCCAAACCGATTTTCTGATGCTACTTTTAAACCATTTGGTAAAACTGTAATTTGCGTCGTTTGATGCTCTTCTTTTGCGGTAGAGTAAATAGCTTTTGGCAAATTAGGAATAGGTTCTGTCAGCGGTGGAAATGATGTAACACTTTCCTGCTTAACACCTAAACTAGGTGGTTCTTTCTGAGAAGAGAAGCTGCATCTTTGCCAGGTGTTAAAATATTTTGTCTGCGTACAACTAAAAAGTCACACAAAGATTGTTACATATATAATGAAAAAAATAGTCACTAGGGAATAGGCAACGTAAATATGCTCCATGCCACTCGTATGTATGATAAAATTGAGGTTATTATTAATTGATATTATCGTCAATTATATCATGTTTCCAATCCAAGATTACCTTTTCTTGAGAGCAACGATTAATTGCTTCTGCGATACGCTCGCAAACATTCTGTACATTTCGCCAACTCGAAGATTTGTAACATACAAATGCAATTTGCCTCCTCGAGTGACCGCCGAAAGTTACAGGGATATGTTTGAGATGTAATATAACCACTTCGGACGTATTCTATATATAAAAAAAAAAAGAAGAACAGTGACTGTTTCGAAATTTCGCATACTTGCACAAATTTAACACACGACAAACATACCTCTTACAGCATCCAGCAATAATATATTTCATCGAAACATAATCGAGTTTAAATTATCCAAGAATTATGTTTCTACACAGAAGCATATCCATGCGTTATATCGCGTTTGTGTAAACGAAATAATGTGGATATCGATGAAGTTATTCTTGTACCGAGTGTGCGAAAAGAAAAAACTGACCCGATCGCACGTAACCAATCAAAGTGGTTAGTTAGACTGGGTTGGGTTAAATTTCACTAATCTGATTGGTCCACGCTCGACTTGTCCATGTCTGAAACGTGTGCACCTGGGACACTCACTCGCGGGGCACCGTGCGGCATCGCGAAATTACTTGAATTTGAAATGTCGACGTGTGACGTGTAGTTTGCTTTAACAAGTGGAAAATTCTCAAGATGGAATATTTCAAGAGTAGTTTAAAGTCCGTTTTAGGCACCGCTCCCGCTGGCACGCAACCTACTGGTGCCGATACGGTAAGTGATGTCGGTTTGACAGTGTCATACATCTCATGTGAAAAAAAAGAGGTTATCCCTTCGTTCGTGTATTTCAACTAATGTTATATCATTTTGTGCATTTGTCATACATTACCTGGTCAAGTTTTTTGTCAGAAGAACAAAAATCAAGTAGCCACGACTGCACGACATGCCGCGATTATTTTTAATCTCGTGTGACGTATCTTAAATGTACAACAGGTGGAAAAGTTAGTAGACAGATTACAGTCGTCCACTTTACTCGATGACAGAAGGGATGCTTGTCGTGCACTCAAGGCATTATCCCGCACATACCGTGTGGAAGTGGGTGCTCAAGGGATGGATGCGCTGTGTCAGGTCTTGGAAATGGACAGGACAGATTGTGAGATAATCGGTTTAGCTCTGGATACTCTGTGCAATATAACAAATCCTGAAACATTTGACGAAGAAGAAGGTGAGGCTGTTATTTTCAACGATATTAATGCGATTATTTATTATTTAATTGCTTCCCACTACTGTTCCAGTGGATAAGCATGATTCTAAGAACAAAATAGGGGAACAGTTCACAGAAATATTCATCAAAGATCCAGATAGTGTCGGATTAGTATTGGCATTTCTCGAGGAATTTGATTTTCGTGTTAGATGGCCAGCACTAAAGCTGCTAACATATTTATTAGCAAATAGATCTAAAGACATCCAAGAGATCATTCTGGTCAGTCCCATGGGAGTCTCTAAATTGATGGATTTGCTGAGTGACAGCAGAGAAGTTATACGTAATGATGTATGTTAAATTAGACACTTTTCAATGAGTGTCAAACAGAGAGACTGCTTTTCCTTGAATGTATTATTTATACTTAGGTTTTATTGCTGCTCATCCAATTAACGAAAGGCAATGCAAATATACAAAAAATAGTAGCGTTTGAGAATGCATTTGATCGAATATTCGATGTTATCGAACAAGAAGGTAACGCAGATGGTGGTATTGTCGTGGAAGATTGTCTCTTGCTGATGTTAAACCTTCTTAGGGGAAACGTTAGTAACCAAAACTTTTTCAAAGAAGGTAATATCTTAACAATAAGATTACTGGTAATTTCATGTTATAACGTCTAAATTATATTGTGATTAATTTTCATTTTCTTATGTTACACAGGTAGCTACATTCAGAAATTGACACCGATGTTTCAAATACCAAATGAAGTAGAGGATAACAATCTCAGTTCATGGAGCCCACAGAAGGTGTCTAATGTTCATTGTATGGTGCAAGTTATACGAGCACTGGTAGCACCAAGTGCTCCTGCTCAGGTAAAAATTAATAGTGGCACAATATTCATATGTTTTGTATTTTCTTACTGACGAAATGATTGTTTTGTGAAGGCGGTGGCTGCTTGTCAACGAACCATGAGGGCGTGCGAATTATTGCAAGCATTGTGCGATATACTAATGGCAAGTGGAGTGCCCGCAGACGTATTAACAGAAACAATTAACACTGTGGCAGAAGTAATAAGAGGGAATGCTAGTAATCAAGAATTCTTAGCGAGTGTCATGGCACCAAGTATTCCACCAAGGTACACCTTATTAAAAATCTTATGTTAATATTTTTTAAAAGTGACAAAAAGAAAATCACAAAGCAATGTGTTATAGGCCGGCTATTGTTGTTTTACTGATGTCCATGGTAAACGAGAAGCAGCCATTCATTTTGCGATGTTCAGTATTATATTGTTTCCAATGCTTCTTGTACAAAAACGAAGTGGGACAAACGCAGTTGATCCAGACCTTATTACCTCAAGGCAATGAAGCACCGTCGCTAACTACAGGTTTATTATGTTCTTTCGAATATGTAGATTTGAATTTTTGTCACATCCTTTGGCAGTAGAGCCCAATTATTCCAGAGCTTTCATTACACATTTTTTTACATATAAAATTCTTTGAGATAAAAATCCCCAAAGTCCCTAAAGTGAAGTTATATGAAATTGTTTCGTATATATTTGTTGTTAGGACAGTTGCTGTGTGGCGGATTGTTCTCTACCGACTCTCTGTCGAATTGGTTCTCGGCTGTGGCATTATCTCATGCCTTGATCGAAAACATAAGTCAAAAGGAGCAACTGTTGAGAGTACTCCTCGCAACCAATATCGGGAAGCCACCGGTGACGCTTATGCAACAATGTGTTATGTTGTTACAGCAAGGTAACAAGACGCAGTGTAAATTGGGCCTGTTGATTTTACTTTGCCGGTGGACCTCGTATTGCCCGCTCGCGGTCAAGTCGTTTCTCGCTATCGACTCTTCAGTAGCATATTTGACGGCCCTTTTATCATCGCAAGAAAATAACGAAGACTTACAAGAGACCTTGCTGCACAGTATGTGTGCTTTACTTATCGGTATTTGTGTACACTTCAACGATGATAGCGTACCTACGTACACGAAGGTGCGTGTGACAAACGATCTTCTGTCAATCGTGGATAAAATGACGAGGATGTCAAATTTTCAATTTTATCCCGCAGGAAAAAGTATGCAATTTAATTGAGAATAGAATAGGTTTGGAGAAATTTCAAGATGCGATCGGCGGTATTGCCAGGCATGAGATATATTCCAGGACGTTGAAACATCCGCAGCCTTCAGCCAAGAAACCGTCTGAACTTTTACTGGATCACGAGTTTTGCAGATTGCTGAAAAGTTTGGAAGGTATCTATACATTACATAACACGGTGTTGTGACTAAAATGTTAAGAAATTTAACATTTAAATTTAATAATTAAATTGAAACAGAAATATTTCAAGATGGCATCTTTTCTTCCTATTAGGTGTTGTAATAAAATCAGTGATAGATGCTAATAGTGAACATCAGAATAAAAATCAGTTATCCATGATGAGTTTATCCGACAGCACACTGGTTTCACAGTACAAGGATCTTATCAGGGAGCAGGATATACAAATTCAACAACTGAAGCAACAGCTGAATCAAACTCACGATTCTCTTACAAAAAGGAACGAAGAACTCAACGTATGAAACAAATGTTCTCTAATACATTTTTTAGAATGTATTGTATTCTTCAGATTAATTTTTAATACCGTTGCAGACAGAAGTACAAACGCTTCGATCGACTGTTAGTCATTTACGAGACCAGAATTTAGTTCTTCGAGCTGCACAATTAAATATAGCAGACGAAAAGGAAACTGCTGCTTCCAGTAACGATGTAGAACACTTGGAGAAGGAACTACAAACGTACAAAACGATGGTTGCAGATTTAGAAAATCGTTTAGCGGAATATTCACATGTGGTACAAGAGCGCAAAGAGAAAGGCAATGAGAAGAAAGAATCGGAAGATTCTAGTCGAATACAAGAGTTGGAGTATCAATTAAAATTAAAGACAGAGGAAATTGATAAATTGAAGAAGGACCAAGAAGACCTTTTAGAACTTTTGACGGATCAAGATAGTAAAATTACGCGATATAAAGAAAAATTGGTCGAATTAGGAGACAAGGTAATATTTTGTTTAATTTTGTTTTTTTATGTATAGTAAATAAAACGTGACTTTTCTCTTTAGGTCGAGTCTGATGAAAGTTCCGGTGAACCCGACACAGATGATCAACCAGAATCAAGTAACTGAAATATTCCAATCCATGTTTCCTCAGCTAAATTAATAAGAAGATTCTGCTTCTAACAAGTCCTGTTTTTCTAAGATTTTATCTTGCGTGTCATAAATATATAGTACGAAAATGTAGGATATATTTACAAGACATACATATAATATGTGTTGCACACAATTAGAAGTGAATGTTATTCTCGCTTTTAGAAATATTTTAAATGAATATTAAATATTTTTTGAGCGAAAGACTGTAACTATAACACTTTTGTAATTCTGTACAATTATGTTCTAATATATATATATATCCAGATGCTCAATGAACTTGTTAACTATGATGTAATTACTATAGAAACGTATCATGTTAATATTGAGATATCAACACTAGAAAAACTGTCCGACATTCCTGTAATATGTTCAACGTAATGTTCGTACAATCTGAAAGATATTTATAGAAAAATTATCCAACGAGAAAATAAATTTATTGTATTTATTTTAAATAACTTATTTTCTCCTATATTATAGCTATGATTGTACAATTTTACGGGACTAATAAGATTAACATTCGCAAATATCCCATTTTCAGTACTGTTTAATATACAGACCTTTACAAATACATCTTAATCCTTCTTGATGGTCCTGTAATTTGCTTTATAACCGACTGCAGAATGTCATAATATCTTGCCGGTTTTTTATCGAATAACTAGCGGGTGAGAATTTTGTCCGGTATTGCATGATTTATGCTGTACTTTGTCGTTGTTTCATGACTGCTTGAACGCACTTCGCCATGGTTAGAGACGCTCGTGACACTACGTCGGTCATGAAGAACTGATCCAACGTTTTGTGTTTAATATCCACAGGGTCTGACAGAAATGATTCTCCAGCTTGTTGCTATACATAATAAGCAATATATATAGATATTAGTCATCTCGACATTTATACATATTGAAGTTATAATCAAAATTAACATATTCATAATCTTATTTTTAATTGGTTGAATCCTCGTAAATTTAACATCAACTTTTGTGACTTGTTCATCGGAAAAAAAGTTGTTTAGTCGAAGTCAAGAATATGTTGGTTCGACTGTAAACCAAATCGTGATACAAACCTTAGCTATCTCTAAAGCCTGCGTGAAGAAATTAGCTGGTTCAACGTTGCCATACCGAACCAAGTGGGGTGCAATTTCCTCAAGCCTTGATCTCACGTCGTTCAAGTTGTCATAGGGTAAAGTGACGCCGGCTATCTGTGATAATTTCACCAAGTGTACAATTAGATTTCGATCGGAAACTTAAGTATTGTACAAAGACTGTTGTATGAATCTATTCACCTCAGAAAGAGCACGAATGATTTTCCAATCCGGACGTGCTAAGCCAGGTGGTGTGAGTGCCGCGCATGTTTCTTGAGAACGACCCTCCGTGTTAACGAAACTCGCGACTTTTTCGGTGTACGCCGCTCCAGCGAGCACAACATCGGCAATAGTTGCTCCAGCATCGCCGTGACTTCCTACAGACATAAGATTTGCTAATTGGAGTTGACGATTTAATCAAGAGTTACAAATATATGTATAATATTGATTCAAAAATAAAACCAAATACCTTAAATAAAGCATAAATAATATATCGCTTTAAGTTTTTAGCGTTATTACATACATACCTATGTAAATGATGAACGTATTCGGGAAATCTTCTTCCTTGATATCAGCATCGTCAGCACCCAGGAGAAACAGAACTTTTGGTTGTTGTTTTTTGATCTCTTCCACGGTCGAGCCATAGCCGATGTCTAACGCAGCAACCTGAGAGGCGTTTGTATGCAGGATGTTTAAGGTCTTCCAGTCCTGGGGAGCCTGGAGCAATATATTAACGGTTATTGCAACTCCCATAAAATTATAATACAAAAAGGAAGGACTTCTCTAAAAAAAAAAAAAAAAAAAAAAGAAAGTTACTTTTGAGTTATCTCCTAAAGCCTTCGCCAATTCTTGCGTTTCGTAGAGGATCTTCGCTCCGTCCTTTCGAGATAACTGTTCAGCACCTAAGATAACTAGCGGTTTCTTAGCCTCTTTCAAAGTCGCGCAGAACGGATGCGAGCCGTTTCGCAGTTTCGTTATCACGTCGAAAGATTCTCCCAAGTGCTGCAGGTACAAATGGAAACGCTATGTTTTTGCAGGACGATAAATATAATATAAAAAAAAAAACTAATAAAAATCTCTACCTCATGATCGTACGTTAGATCTACGTCCGGGCCAATGAGGGCAATCGTTTGTTCACCGTGTAAGTAGCCTTTTCTGAGACGCGTGTTGACCAATGGTGCCTCGTATCTTGGATTTGTACCGATCAATATCACTACGTCTGCATCTTCGAGCGCGGCGATGGTGTTGTTCAAGAGATAGCTGCTCCTGAGATCAATACCCGAGCCATCCTTCGGGAAGCACTGTTCCGTAGCCAGCCCCTCGCTGCCCAATTTGTTCACTAAGTCTTTCATGGCGACCAGAGCTTCCGCGTCTGCCAATTTGCCAGCGATCGCGGCGCATTTGTCCGCTGGTATGTCCACTAAAGGCTTGGCGGCTAATCATAATCGTGAAAGACGTTACATGCGATTGCGAATATTTGAAAGACAAATTGGATACAGCAGAGATACACACGCGCATTATAGACTTGCTTCACATGGCAACGTTAATTTAGATTTAGTAACTACCTTAATTGGCGAACTCTTGTATTTAATTGGTGATCTAAAAATATATACAATCAGATGAAAGAATTCATTAACTACGGTTGTCGGACTGGATTAACGTTGCCGTGTAAACGTAGTCACAGATGTTAACTGAATTGCCCTACCGGCGATAAGTGCATCTTCCCAATCTACAGCTTCCAATTTTCCTTTGATCTTCATCATTGGCGTGATGAGCCGTTGCCTCTTGAGCCCGTCGTATGAGAACCGAGCCTTGTCCGAGAGCCATTCTTCATTCACTTCCTGTAAGTTACAATTGTTATTAATTACGTCAGAAAATCAGGTACCTTTTTAAAAGTTTCGCCAACACAGATATATCAAGAAAATAACATGAAAATAATATCAACCTCGTTCACTCTCGGTAGTATTCTTAGAACTTCACCAGTTCTATGAGAGATAACTATGTTACTACCGACGGCATCGTGAACATCGATACTGTCAGTACGACGTGTCTCCCACGGACGAGCGACAAATGCGTATGGTTTACTGGTCAATGCACCCACTGGACAGAGATCAATGATATTTCCCGATAACTCTGATAGGAACATTTTCTCAATATACGTCCCAACCTTTAATATCACCATATATATTATTAAGCAAATCATAAGATAATTTTTCTCTATAATAAGAGTAAATTGCATTCAGAATATTATATTATAAATATCAAACACGCACCTGCATATCATTACCACGACCTGTGGTTCCCAAGTCATCGATACCAGCTACTTCCGAGGCAAATCTAATACACCTCGTGCAATGTATGCAACGTGTCATAACTGTTTTGACCAAGGGTCCAAGATCTTTGTCCTCCACCGCTCTTTTCCCGGAGTAGTTGATATCAACGAACCTACTCCTGTCACTCCCGAAAGCCATGCTTTGATCTTGCAAGTCACATTCTCCACCTTGGTCACAGATTGGACAGTCCAGTGGATGATTAACCAATAAAAATTCCATAACACCCTCACGAGCCTTTCTTGTCATTTCAGAGTTGGTTTTCACTTTCCAACCTTTCATTACTGGCATAGCACACGCAGCAACTGGCTGTAAATGAATTTAGAAAAAATACGGTTAGTTGTGATATAGTTTATTCTTTTATGTGCCCTATTATATCACATACCTTGACTGCTTTTTCTATTTCAACGAGACACATCCTGCAATTTCCAGCAACAGCTAGCCGTTCATGATAACAGAATCTTGGTATCTCAACTCCTACCTTGGCGGCAGCCTAAAAGAAAATTTTACATTGTTATATAAATATCATTGTCTATTTTAAACTGCTAAAAATAATATCTATTTTCAAAACATATAACATAAACTTGGTGTTATTTATAAGATTGATTATATAAAATTTGAGATATTTGAGATTATATTATAGAGAAACAAGAATATTTCTCAGTATTAGATAAATACTATTAATTGCATAATGTTACATAATATTGTTACAGACTCATAATTGAAATATTCCTGGTAAGTTCACTTGATGTTGATTCAATATTACTTTAACTTCATCTATCATTTATAAAAGATAATATCTTGATGGTTACATTTATTGATCATAAAATTTTATATAGTATGTATGAGATATAGAAGCTATATTATGTTACTTCTGATGATAATCAAAGAAAAACAGATGAAAAAAAATTGTAAAAGCACATCAAATATACCTGTAAGACTGTTGTTCCCGGAGGCACCTGTACAGGCTTATCATCGATGAAGAGCTCGATCAATTCCTGCTGCTGTGACTTACTGGATGTTGTGTGAAAACTGACAGCGCAAAACCTTCCACTCGCCAGGCCCGTCGCCCGCACAACCGGTAGTCGCAACATTTTGTCAGGCTAAACTATCAACATTGGTTACACTTCATTATGTAATAAATAAACTTTGTCGTACAGTCAACGGGGAAATGGCGAAAGAACCTAATCGGAGACGACTAGAAATCAGCGAAATCTGTATTTCCGAGAGAAAAACGATCAGGTCGCAGCATCGAACAACTGTATTACAGAATATCGCGATAACTAATTCGCCAAGTACTTATCCGTGAGGGTGATTACGACCTAAATCTCACAAATAAAATTACCACAGCTGTCTTTATGCGTAGATACCTTCTCTAGATGTCAGAAAAGCCGAACACCACCGATTGAGCTCATGATGAGCAATGGCGAGTTCGATTCAGGAACGTTGGTCGCTTGGATTGCGTCACCGTATATATATAGTTCCATTAACTCTGGACCAATGATTTCGCTTATAAACTAGGGAATAACTCGTCTCACCAAGACAATTTAGTATTTTGATCGATCCAGTTTTCGTCTCATTTTCATAGCTATTGATCCGAATTAATATTTGGCCTGTTCTTTTTAGCTGCACCGCTGAACTAATGCAATAAGTTGAAGCGAGACAAGTATATGTTTTCTCACTTCAACTTATTGCACCAGTTCAGCAGTTCAGCTAAAAAGAACAGGCTAATTGATATCGATAAATCAATATTGAGTTAACTAAGCTCTGCAGAAATTCACGAATCCAGATTTATTTCGAATTCTTCGATTGTCTGTTATTTTTATAAAAAGAGAAGAGTTTCATCGAAGTAGAAGCAGATCTACTATCTAGGTTATGTATAGAAATGTCTCGAAATATCCTGCGTGATAACTAGAAACTGGAAATTTATAATTCACATGTGACGTGTATCATAGATCGATATATTTTTATTGCTACATATATATATATATATATAATATTTTAATACTGTTACATTCAATTGATATCTATATATTCCGAAACACACGCCCAGTTCCAAGCCTTAAGGCCACGACGCAAGAGAACGCGCCTGCCGGCAGTTGCGCCGTCGTCGTCGTGCGAGTCCGCCGAAGGAAGAACAGGAAGCGTACCGGAACGGACGTCACGTCGCCGCTCAAGTCGCGATACTCGAACCGGGCCGTATCGCCGCGGTGGCCTCTACCGTCGTCGCACGTAGCTCTCTCTTCCGGCGATCCGCTAGACGAAGGGCTCCCCCGCTGAACGTCCTGCTCTCTCTCCGTCAAATATTTACACGTCCAGGACACGCTCCAGCCATGGCCATTGGTGACTTGAAGACCGACAAGGGCGTCAAGGATCTTAACACCTACCTAGCTGATCGCAGCTATGTCGACGGGTGAGCCTACTTCCGCGCGACTCACGTCTCCGGTACACGTGCTCCGCTTGTCGGCATCTTGCCGTGAGTGACTTTCCTTCCCTCGGTATCCGCTTAGCGACTCCTCGCAGACGGGAATCGCTCGGCGTACGAATACTCTGGCCTTCTCGCTCGTAGTCGTTGATCTCGCTCGAGATTGAGCCACGCGGCGGATCGCGACGTTCCAGTGTCACGTATGGATGTGTGTGACACACGGACATGATAAATGCACGTACGCAAGCACACACATACACACGCAGGCAGGCAGACAGACAGGCGATCGTACACCTTATGCACATTTATTTTTATGTCTGCTGTTTTACGGCCGCCCTACTGGCCTTTCTCTTGCTCTCTTTAGTGAACTTTCTACTTAGAACCTGCTTTGAAGTTCCCTGGTGCTCGCTGCAGTTCCACATCTGATAACTCTGTCTGTATTTGAACATGTGCTGGAGAGCAAGAGAGGTGTTCAATGTTTGCTCACACATATGCAAATCAGAATATGTTCCGTACTTGTCATACGTGTATCGTTCGTTCTGTGCATATTTGTTGTAGGTGACATATATATTGCGAGCTGAGAAATATTACATGTTATATGTAGACAAAATTTTCCTGGTCCAAGCATTAATAAAAATTTGACATGAGAAATACTATAACTGTGTCCTTTATGTCTCTTATAATTTCCTTTTATTTTTATTTATGCTTCAATGTACTTACGGTAAGAATACTGATCAAGTTGTTAAATCTGAGTTGAATTTTGTATTATTCATCGATTTCTCAAACGAATTTTTGTCCTGTCCATCAGCAAAATTAAGACAGTACTTAAATTTACAAATTTTTGCACCATCTAAGGACATACATATACATACATACATGTATAAAATATTGGTCCTTATTCTCTTTAATATGCTGCACATGAATTCAATCGAGTGAATGTAATAAGGATAATGATTAGTACAAGATAACGTATCATATAGAAGAATTTACATCCAATAGGTGGCAACCAACTCAGGCCGATGTTGCAGTACTTGAGGCACTGGGGAAAGCACCATCGTCTTCGAATCCTCATGTACTCCGTTGGTACAACCACATAAAGTCGTACGATCTTAAGGCACTACCCGGTGAGAAGAAAGCTCCTGCCATCTTCGATGCAGCTCCGGTCTCGTCTGCGGCGAAGGCGAAGGACGAGGACGACGATGATCTGGACTTGTTCGGCTCGGACGATGAAGAGGACGCGGAAGCCGCGAAAGTCAGGGAGGAGAGGCTAAAGGAGTACGCGGAGAAGAAGTCGAAGAAGCCCGTGATCGTCGCCAAGTCGAGCATCGTACTGGACGTGAAGAGCTGGGGAGACGAGACTGATATGAAGGAAATGGAGAATAAGGTGAGATCGATCCAGCAGGACGGTCTCGTGTGGGGTGCATGTAAGTCTTTCATAATTGATCGCACTGTCGATAATAAATCTATCTGTGTATGAGGAAAACTTATGAATAAATATGAACATTTTTTTGTCATTTGCAGCAAAACTCGTCCCGGTCGGTTACGGCATAAATAAGTTACAGATCATGTGCGTGATAGAAGATGAAAAAGTGTCCGTGGACTTGTTGATGGAACAGATTCAAGAATTCGAGGATCTAGTTCAATCTGTAGACATTGCTTCGTTCAATAAAATCTAAGGAACAAAAACAGCTCATTACTTTTAATATGAAATTAATAAATATTAATTGTTTGTACATATAATTTGTTACTTAATACACCCGAAGAATTCCTAGTGCAGTCTTCGAGAGTAATACAGTACTGAAAAGCTTCATTGAGAGTGTATTTATTTTAACACCTACTGTTTAATATATATATATATATATATATATATACATACACACCAAGTGGGCGTCGATCACCACATCGCGGATGATAATTTATGTCAATATATTTTCATATACATTCAGCTGTTGTCGTTGGACAAAACTCGATGTTAATCGACATAAATAAGATGCTAAATACATGATGCAACTACAATAAAGCTCATCAATTTCAAGCGTCAATACAATAAGAGATGTTGGTTTTTACATGGAAGATATTTTTCACAGAAAATGCACGTCAGAACTGTTACGCAACGATCGTTAGTTTTCAATTTTAGCACACCGACATGCTTCGCAAACGTGTCACAATCGAATCCTTGCGTCCAATTTCTCCAAGTTCGCCGAAATTATTGTCCGTCGAGATTATCCGCTAAGCTTCCTTGATCAAGATTTGCTTTCCGATCAACGTTCTTCTTCGATCTCTTACATTGGGACGGTATTATAGTGCCATTACGACAGCAAGATCCCAGTAAGCGAGAAACATCAAATCAATTTCTTGAAACATTGATTTTATGTGAATTTCATAAACATCTTGACATATTTTATAAATGTTTTTCAACCGCTACTTGATGATATTATATTCCTAAATGTTAAAATCATAGTGCAGAAATGTTATTTTTTATGTTTGGGTCAAGTATTAGTAGTTAACAATGACGTGTTGACGTGACAACATGAAAAACGAAATATTTGAAAACGTTGTATGTCATAAAAATTTATTATAAATAGTATTATTATAAAACGTATGTCATAAAAATTTATTATAAATAGCGTTGTATTAGTGACTTCTTGCTCACTGGAATATTTCTTAATATTTTTCGCGCGTCGATCAAATTCGCCGTGCACTATTCGCGAATAAATCCATTATGCAGTCTGAGCAACGATCACTGAGTATTTCTTTTGATATATTCAAAATGATTTCATTGAATTTTGAAGCGGACGCTCCAAGGCCTTTGGCATCCTTCGGACTCAGCGGGAATTCTCCTATGTCGCCGCGACACATTCAGGCTTTATAACGGAAAAACCAGTAGCTATAGATCAGCAGGAAGCGAATTAGAGATATCGTAAAGTGAGACGCGAGAATTTTACACGCGTCTTGTGTCGTTCGCGCGATTATGTAACGGGAATTTCAGAGATTTTATCAACGCAAAAAACAACGAGACACACATCAGCCGCTGTCGTCATGATACATCTGTATCGCTTGCGCATATCTTCAGTTTTTTCTAACCGGGGAAACGGTTTCCTCTTTCGTCTTTGCAATCGCAATCCGCGAATAATCCGACCCGATGAGCTAACCCAACTGACAGTAACATTATAACAACATTATAAACCTCTATCAACAACAATGCAACTGTTGTATACAAGGCACGTTACATTGTACTCACATTATTGAGTGAGACATTGCAACATTGATGTTACAATGTTACTGTTAACTGGCGTTTACTTGGGGAGCGAAATCGTTTCTACCGATGATTGATAACGCTTCGTTTATCACACGGCCGTTTACTGGACGAGAGCCTCGTTCTTTTTGCCTCTTCACCGCTCCTCGTTGCCTTTTACGAACTCGTTCTCGAGGAAGGTATCAATTGTAAGTCCGTCGACGAGCGAGACACCGGCGCGCCGCGCTTAGGGCATTGACATTGAACTTGGGATCCGGTTGTGTGCCACGCGGTCTTCGCGTTTCTGTTGCGAGTTTTAAAGTAACGACGCGCCGGCTGACATCCGCCCGTGTTAGGAGGCGCGTTAGAAAACCGCCGTGAACGAGTCGCGGTATTGAGGACCTCAAGGTTCTATCGGCGCAAAACGCGGAGGAGATTAGGTTTCAACGTTTCCCCTCCCCGTTTTCTCTCGTTTTCTTCAGCAGATCGTTACATTACGACACGCCGACGCCTTTTCCCGTTTTGCACGGTATCCCGAGCCTTGCGGATCCTGAAACGAGGCGTCATTAAGAAAAATGTGAAGGTAGGAACTGCGGCAGGTAGGGATGTTGTGACAGTACTGATGTAATATTCGTATCGATATTTTTCCTTCAATACTGGGTATTTTTGCACCGATATTCCCCTTCGGTATTCATATATCAGTATTGCTTTGTTTCGATATCTTTTTTTCTTTTTAATTTTTTACTCAGTCGATCTTCAATATGATGTGTATTTTTGTTTCGTAGAAATTAATGTAACACGCAATTTATATTTGAAATCTATCTTTTATCACGGTTTTTGTTACGTTAATTTTATGGTTGTTTATTAATTGCTGAAGTAAAAGGAAAGCGATCGACATTTTAGAAGTGAACGGGGTCGACCACGAGTGTTATTTTGTGCGTATATTGTTTTATTTCCACGTAAACCGCAATAATTTTTGCATGCGATTTCTCGCTTCTGACGTCATCAAACAAGGACAGTCATAGTGAAGACATCCTTTTTGAGCTTTTTGGATCACATACTGTAGAAAATCTAATGTAAAAAGTATCGAATAGAAGTATCTTTATGCCATAATAAAATTATTATGTGTAGACGTACGAAACCTTTAAAAGTAGCAAAACAAATACTTCCCTGATTTTTATATTTCCTCTAATTCTAAGTTTTTTTAAAGTTGCGATTCTAGTATCGGCGTCGATCTTTTTGTTCTGATACTGGAATCACTAATAATATCGATACCCTTCAATTAAATACCCATTTCAAAGTTAGTATCGATACTTTCATGTTATCACTATATCCCTGGCGGCAGAACACGAGGTCAGGGCGCAACAAAGTAGAAACTTGCGCGTTTCCTCGGCTATAAATGACCACACCGTGACTAATTCCAGAAGTTGACCATACGCGTAACACGTTTGCATACACACACACACACATACTCGGATAATTATCGGAATGATCTAAGGATAAATATCTTTCATAAATTCTATTGAGGATTATATCTCTAATTACCAACGCTTCTCGTGGCCGATTCGCGCGGATGCCATTGATCACCGTTGTTATTTCAGAATTTTCGCATGTGTTGCAATAAATTTTACGAAGCGATTAATTTCCAGGCTCCCGGACAGCAATTATCTCCACATCGCGAAGAGAGATTCGAAGGATATATTATCCCTGAAAGAAGACACCTCGGCTTCCCTCGCTCGTCGCTCAGGACTCCCTTCAGAGCACATCACGCGCTTTAAAGCCTCCGTCGCGCGAATAAAGAATCCCATTGGACGAGATCTCGGCAATGATCCTGAGGACCGACGCAGGACGTGCACGATGGCCAGCCGCTCGTTTTCGGCCGTTCTCTCTTTATCCCTTACCCCGGATCACGGATGACGACGACGAAATTCTCGTCCTTCGACTGTTTCCCAAATGCGTGCATTCCTCCTCGCTCCGCTCCTCCTCGTATCCTCGCCAGGCCCGCGTCGCGCGGCATTCGCGGCTACTATCGCCGTATATAAGAAAGCGATCGGCCGAGGACGACGCGAAAGCGCGGATCTTCTCGCGTCACATCGACGGTGTCTTCAGGGACGAGCACAGTGCACTGGTAGACGTTACTCCTCGCGCATCGGCAGCGACACACTTCCGAGAGATGTTCGCGAGAGTCTCGTGGATCGTCGCGACTACGCTCGCACTGCTCTGCATTTGCGTCCACGGTGAGCTGCATCATTGATATCTCGATTATCGTCGTCCGTCCCGTCAGTCTGACAATTGTAACGACGAATTAATTAATTAATCAGTCGCGACAATGCAAGTTGAAAAATTCAAAGTAAAGGGACATCGTTAGATTTTGTTGGATACCCGGATAACTCGCGAGGCGCTCCTCGCAATTTTTGCTGTCGTCGATTCGGGTTTCATTGTAAGCGACACATTTATGACGAGCGGCAAAATCAGTAGAGAAATATACTCGATGATGACGCTTTTGATCTCGAAGATTAAGAATAATCTTTCGTTCCGCGTTGACCTTTGACAGGCAGAAATCTATCTCATCGGATCCGAGCATTCGCTAATTCCGAGAATTCTCAGAATTCTTAATATCCGTGTACCGTTAATAACAGAGTCTGCGTCTTTGTCGCTGTTAATCTATGTCCATGACAGCGTCCTTGACCGTCACGCGTCACGTCGGTTAGCCTTGCGAACATTATTCCGCCTCTCTGAGGCCAAGCTTTCCCCTATGAGCTAATGTTAACTCTGAAAATATACCTTTTATGATTCATAAACCGTGCCATCGAGCTTAGGAAAGTGTCTAATTAAAAAGCCAAGTCCTGGCTTTTGAAACGTTAATAAAAAAAAAAACTAAGCCTTTCTAAACTTCCAATAAAACGCAAACTCCCAATAAGCAATCTGTTAATAGTCTGACGACAAATTGGCGACAAATTCAAATAGTCATCTGTGTTTCGCAATCTGCTGACGGAATCTGACAGCAGATTGGCAGAAAACGAGCAGGATCAGCAGGATCTTGCAGGTTTCTAGCTATCTGGACCTAACGCACCAGAAATAAAAGAAAACGTTCGACCTCGATGTCTGACCGACTGATCTATATTTTCCGATGATTAATATACCGCTTGTAATTAACGTGTTGATCGTTCACAACGTTAAGAAGAGATGCGACGACATGATAATCACGGTCTATTTGCGAAATCAAAATTAAAATAACGACCCGAGGAAGAGTTCACTATTGCGTTTGCTATTTCTTTTTTTAATGATCGCTTAAGTCAACTGTATTTACTAATAAATTGCTTCCGACGATATCAGCAAGTACAGCGAAATAAGCTACGATGATGTAACGCTTATGGTCCATTTTTAATTGTCGGTGTGATGAGAAAATGTTGATCGTAAAATAAAACAATCGCGCGATCGACGGGCAGAACGAGCGCTGAAACCTCGCTATCTCCCTACGTAACTGAATGTCTCGATTATGACGAGGAAAAATTCAAACGCAACGGAATCATCGGCGGAACCCGCGTTTGAGAGTCCAAAGGAATCGAGGAGACCCTGAACCGCTTTATTAAGCGACTCGCCTCGAACCGCGCCCAACTTCAGTGGGAGTCGCAAGACAATCCGATTATATTCCCATCTTATATCCTGATATTCTTGTCGCTGTAAATCTATTCATTCAATCGCAATGATTTAATTATCCTTCGCGTATTGTGACTTCGTTAGAGTCCGTCTAGGAAAACTATTTACATACGTACAAAGAGGAGTCTCTATTTTTTTTATCTTAACACGTCCGTCCTGTGCCATGTGTATAGTTTTCGACACACGCCGAACCCGATCTCCACGCCAAGTGATTCTTTGTCATTAATTTAATTTAATTAAGAGATAAAATATAGTAAAATAGTTTGTCTCATCACTCATTCGTACTCTTTTATTATGTTTGAAGCACTTTTAAAGTCGTGGACCGTGAAATATGGAACTATGGCTGCGTTCGGAGACCACGCTAACGCGTCAATTTTTCTTTGTCTTTCATTAGATACATGACAAGGATAGAATGACTTGCTAGCGCTCATCAGCGCTAATAGCGCGCCTCTCAAGAGTATATTGTATAAAATGTTGGAAATTTAGGTACTGAAAATGCTAGAGCTAAAACAAAATGAACAACATTTTGCGAGAATTGCTCAAAAAAACTACCTTATGTATAAATTCTTTCGATAAAATACGCGTTCTGTTTTATTTTACAATATTTTGTTCGTCATTCTTCAAGTTTCTGAAATAAATTACTTGTTTTGCTCAATTATTTGTTTGCTCTAAATTATTTGTTGTGCATTTTATACTTGGAACATTTAACTTTCATAATAAATAACTGTCCGATTCACGCAAAAAAATCCACAAGTCAAATAATCATGACAGATTTATCAAACTCCACATCGTGTACCGTTTTCGGCGTGGATTGAAAGTCACCTAAAAACGATCCGGCACGGAACGTGTCAATTAATTACCGAGAACTTTCCTCGTATTTTTGACAAAAATCGTTCTCTCCGGGCAAATAAGAATCTCAGCCCCTCCGTTTGATTGACATCAAGCATCCCGCATTCGGTTTGCGATCAATGTATACATTTTGCACGGCGATAGCGAGAGCGAAATGAGATCTAAACACGAAAGCGCACGTCATTCCCCACCGTAGACGGGGTGGTTCATCTGTGCGGGCATCAATGATCAAAATGCACATGTTGATTTGAGTTATATTTTTAACCGTGACGCGCCGGGCGAAACAATCGCGCGTCTTCAGGTAGAATACATACTACACGTGAGTGTGTGTGTGTGTGTGTCGCGAGTCACGTCGCGACACCGAAAGCGCCGGCTCGAAATGCGTTGCTTGGGTCTCAACGAACGACTGGTCCACCTTTACTTTCGATGTTCTTTTATTGTAACGACTCTGCGGCGGGAGCGCCGAAGACGCGTCGCCCTAAACAGTCAGATTAAATTCCAGCCTGTCGTGAATTTTTAACAAGAAGTAGACACATCGCGGCAGTATTCTCTTTATCAGATCTTGTCCTGAGAATTTTGGTTATTTTTAGCACTTTTAAGAGCTCTCTCACTACTCTTAGCGTCCCAACATAACGCGTATGTATAAAAAAATGTCTCAGAGACGTCTCCTTTAGAAACGTTTTATTATTTCAAAGATGTCTTTACGATGTCTTAAGACGTTTTAATGTTCTCCGGGATATTATATCCCCTTAAAATAGATCCATAAGAACAATACAGCGCACACAGAGCCAGGATAAAACATTAAAACTGACTATCCCGATGACGCTCACACGCTCTTCTTTCTGCAGCTCAACAACCTGCGCCGATCGTTTCGCAACTTTGCTTGGGCTGCATATGCGAAGTTACGTCGGGATGTAACACCACCATCGGCTGCTCCGAAGCGGTATGCGGGCCCTTTGCCATAACGTGGGGCTACTGGTCCGACGCTGGCAAACCGACCCTGAACGGCGAGCCGCTCGGTGACCAATGTGAGTTATTATTAATAAATATTGATATCATTAAATATCACTTTATAATAATAATAATGGTAACAAACGTTGTCTCGTCCTTTATTAGCTTACAGCCGGTGTACCAACGATCCTTATTGCGCTGCGACTGCGGTACAAGGATACATGGCCAAATTCGGACAGGTGAGATAGATTTTTCTGACGTTCAGTTTGGATTTCTATTCGTGTATCCTTATTAACACATTAACGGCGGGCGATATTTTGTGTGATCATAAAAACTTTAAGGTACAGTCGAGCTAAATTGTTTTACTACGACTCCCGCCTTTAAGCCGCAGTCGAGCTAAATCGTAGTACTACGACTCCCGCCCTTAATGTGTTAATATCATCGTATCGTCATTGATATTATCTGCATATAAATTATTGTACATTTGCTAAATTGTTTGTCAAATAGGACTGCACCGGAAATGGAGTGATCGATTGTGACGATTACCTGCGTATTCATCGATTGGGTGGATACGGTTGCACCGGGCCGTTAGATAATAAATATGAGAATAAATACAAGCTGTGTATGCAAACCTTCGGGCATCAGTAATGCGTGCGATCGTGTCTGAACTTCATGACATTCCGTTAATTATAGCAGCGTACGTATGTACGAATATCTGAAGTGAAGATGTACAGCGTGTCTTTATCACAGATTTGGGACATAGCCGTTAATTTGTACCACGCAGCGCAAGAATGTCTTTAGTTTCACTTACTGTACAATATGATTTTTGGTAAATAAATTTACAAGAAATGTACAATTTTGTAGTACATTTATATAAAACTATAACGTGTGTTCTTATTTGCTTAAAAGTGTATGTATGTATAGTTAATAATCATATACTTCTTAATACCTGAATATTCTTCTATGTATATATATGCTAGGTAACTTTTAAAATATAACTTTCGATTCTCGAGCACTTAAAATTTTATCTACCAGTTCTGCCCGTTTCTGCAATAACGCACTCTGTTTCTGCAGATTTTCAGCAGCGCACATATTTTTCACGAGAAAGTGATTTATAAATAATCTAAGGCTTTCCCTGAAAGTCTGTAACTTCGGAGACAATGATATTCTTTCAAACACCTCTAGGCAGGTCTCCCAAGTGTCGTGTAATAGTATTCCTAACATAATCTGTCGGACAAGCCTCATAGTTGACTTGTCTAATTCGGTAAATTGGATCACCTGTAATTATTCGAATTAACTACAACGTGATAATAAACGTCATGAAAAAGGAAGAATAGTAAATATTATAGATATTCAGATACCTTCAGAACGGAAAGCGGAAGACCCTTTCCTAAGAATAGATGAGTCAAGAATTTCGCCAGATTTGTTAGCTGTTTTACGTTGAAATCGTCCAACGTCTTTAATTTATCCCACAGTGCATATTGTATAGTCAACTGTAATAAATAATCATTACCGGCCATTTAATCAACATTAATGATATATTTACTATAAACAAGATATACTTTTACGTAAAATTATGTCACATACCTGATATTTCCTATCAGTGTCACACAGCTTTTGTGCCAATATAGCGTAATAAGGATTAAACTTTTTCTCCTGAACACAACAACTAAAAATGACATAAATCACTTCCCTCTGTTGTTGATTTTTCAAGCCAAGGTGATGAATCTTCTCAAATGCATCTAAATAATCTTCAGCCGTCATGAGGACACAAAATATATCTCTTCTGATATTGGTGTTCATTCTCTGCTTCCGTGCCAACTCTAATATTTGTTCACTGTATTTTTGTTGATCATTCTCTGAAGTCTTTTCCAATTTACCAATATCCTTGAGACCGGACCAAGCTGATCCCACTATCCACCATTTTCCCCTTTCATCGACTGTTAAAAAATATAAATAAGTAACATATAATTCTAGTGTATATTTGTTCGTTTGACACAAACATACCTTCTAATAAGTCTTCTAGGGTCACATTAAATTGCGTAACGCTACTGCCTTTACGGATAAAATTTTTCAGAATTTTCCTCAAATGTTCTATCCGAGTTGGGTCGTATTGAGGTATTTTGTTCATATTATTATTTTTTATTGCCAATAACACTTCCAACATAAACTTGATCCTTGAACTATATTGGTAATAATAATAAATATTAGGTGAGAAATATAGAAAAGCACAGATTTGCAAAGTAATTAGGCAGGGGAAGCAACGTAAACTAGAATACTTGTATGTGAAAATTAAAAATATAAAAATATAACTTACTTTTTCTTAGCAGCATTATTTGCCTTCTGTTGCAGACTTAATATAAGCTCTTTTAATGCAAGAGGATCGTCTTTCCTCAACGAGAAGCCCACTGTCCTTAAAATCAGCAAAATTAGTTCGATTTCTTTCTCTGTGAATTTTGCTGACAACTTTTCCAATATCTGATATAAAAGTCGGTGACCATATACCTATAAAAAAGAAAGAGGAAAAGTCTCAGAGTGAAATTATAATCGTTTTGGTTTTGCAATGAATTGATGAAATTATGACAAACATTACCTTGAAATTATATAGATGCGAGATAATAAGGATTATGTTATCCAGTTCTTTGTTCTCAACACTATAAGATTCTTTCAACATGTGGTGGAGCTTTTTTACAACGGTCAATAGAAAATGCGCGCCAACTTCTGTACCAACATTTGCATGTAACACAGCGATTAACATCATATGTTCACAGATAAGTCGATCTGGTGTTAGTACTGGTGCAATTATAGATTCCATCATCAGCTTGGATAACATTACATTCATATCATTACGGCTGTTTGACATGTACAACTCTTCTACCTGCGATATTAAAAATATTGATACAATAAGCTTTTATTAACCAACAATGGAATTATTCTCTTGACAAAAATATGCAATTTATAATTGAATCATTAATTTATGATTATCAGCTATATTTAATCGAACAACTTATATACATTTAAGTAAGAAAATTACCTGATTTGCAATAGCATGCATATTCTGCTCGGCCAATCTATTCAGAATACCTTTCAGTTGTCTTTCCAATCTACGAACTTTCTCACTGTCAACAGAGATATCTGTTGCACGTGCGGCAGGTGGTACATATTTCTTTGAAATGACATTGCCTTTTTTGTCTCTCTGCCTGCCATAAATATCCTCCCACAAGTCTTCATTATCATCCGACTGCTCTGACGCATGTTTTAACTTTTCATCCTCTTCATCCTCATCATTTGTTGGATAACTATTAGATTTTATGTTTACACTATTTGTTTCCTCTGAAGAAATATCCTCGCCATCTTCTAGTCCTGAGTCCTCATTGGACAAAATATTTTCATTTTCCATCTCCTGTTCAGAATCCTCATTGTCATCTATGACTTGTTTGGAATCTTCACTATCATTTATGCTTCCTTCAGGTTCCTCCATATCATCTATGTTCTGTTCTTCTTCATCATGTTTATCTTCGCTATCCTCCTCGCCAATGGCCATGTTCAAATCTTCTTCAAATTCTGTGCTCAATCCAGTTTCTAGTAACTGTTTCTCAGTTTCTACCATGTGATTTCTGTTTTCTGAATCACAGAAATCCAAAAGATCTGATATAGAAGTTAAGGGGCAATATAAATAATATAATATGATAATATATTAAAGATGAAAATATATATTCCCTGACACAGTTTGTAAAATTATATATATCATATAAAATCTTAATAAAATATATATTTAGTGAATATATATTTTGGATAAAAGAAATTTAAAACTTTAATACTTTGCATTGTTTAAAAATGTTTATATGTAGAATTATATAGAACAATGCAATATAATAATTAATACATACATATTATATTTGTTTTACACTTTAGGATAAATATAGGACTTATTTTTAAGCACAATGTTCAAATCCAAAAGAACATTAAGCTTATGTAACATATATAATAAAAATTAAAGTTAAAATATGCAATATATTAAAATTTATACAAAATTATAAAGGATACAATCTAAGCCCTCTGAAACAAAAGATTTTGGTACAGATTTATTCTTCCGCTTGTTTAATTTCAATCGCTTTTCTAACTGTTTAATTGTTTTGTCCTCCTCTAGATTTGCTTCTTTTAATTGCTTTATCCTTTGCTTTTTAACCCTTTTCTCTTTTTTTCTTTCATTGATATTCTTAGACTTTTTTCGTTTCTGCACTTCCTTTAATGGTATCTGTTTAACATTGCAATTTTCAATATATTTGTTCAATGGCTATAATGACAATTTATCAGCATAAAAGATAATGCTCTTATTAGACATTAAACACAATGATTAGTATTAATTAATATTTTAAGAATAATTACAAGTGTTTTTCTTCTTTCATTGTTTCCTTCATCTTCTTCCAAACCACGTGTTGATTTTTCAGTGCTTTCTTCTGATTGATTTTTGGACCTGTTCTTTTGATAATATACTGCTCTACTTATCTTTTTTTGTTGTCTTTTTTCTTTTCGTAATTGTTTACGCGTTTTCTGCGCTGGTTTAATCTTGTTGAACTTTTTCTTATTCTTCGGTGCTTCTTTGCGTTCAATACGTCCCATTTTCGAGAAAATTTTTTAGTCGTAGAATACTTCAAATAAAAATAAAGGATACTCTAACCAAAAATAAAATTTCTTACTCTTTAAAATGTAAAAGAAAGAGGTTATGTTCTGTTGTCAAATAAATCACCATATACATACACGTGTCCAGCGTATCTCGTGATACTACATTCACGAAATCGACTGAAAAATAAGATGGTTTGAGTCTCAGCTAAATGACCGATAAATTTTGTTATAAAAAGGTTCGTCTGAGGTGTATGACGTTACTTTAGTTAAAAAGTCTCCACTACGAATCGCCACTGTACCTAGTTAAAATATGAAGACGTGATATAACTCAATAGTACATCAGTCAGAACATATTTTCAAGTAGTACAATTCAACGACGGAGTAGACCAAATCTTTATTCGAAAAAATTTCAAATTTTCTTTTTTATCTTCTACTAAGAAATAAAAGTGTAATATTGAATAACAACCTAATATATAATTAAAAATAAAAATTCATTTTCACTTTAAATGTAGGAAATTCTACGGTGATATAACCTAGAAGAACAGTTCCCACCTTCGATCTTTAAATCTCTGCATGTTATGTAAAAGTTATCATATGATTGATATGTTTATTAAATTAATAATTTTTTCATAAAGCACTGATTAGAAAGCAATGTGTCTTTAATTATTCAACAAATTATTCAACAAATATTCACCTGATACAGTGCATGTATATTTTTCCGGCTCCGGTAATGTAAGGGTAAGTACGGTCAATAACGTTATTATAACATTTGTATTCATTCTTTTCTAAATAACAGCTCTAATAAAATATACGACGTTTAAATACGCTTTTGTCTTTTAAAGGCAATCGTTCGCGTAAACACACGATATTCCCAATCAAGAAACAATTTTGCAAAACACATCGTGTGTTATGTGTGTAGTTCTACAAGTATCAACGCAAAATGTTGAAGAATAATTTTATAAGGACTTCCTGGTGCAAACTACGTTCACGATATACGCATAAAAGTGCCTCTCTCCCAGAGACAAAAAGTAAAGAATTGGAGATTGCAAAGATACGTAACATTGGCATATTGGCACACATTGATGCTGGTTGGTATATAATACTGCTTCTATTGATTGTGTGTGACAAAATTTGCTTTGTTTAAATTTGCTTCTGTGTGTCTAATAAATACTTCATCTTCAGGAAAGACCACCACGACAGAGAGGATGTTATACTACTCAGGCCTTATCAGGAACATGGGAGAAGTACATCACGGTAACACGGTCACCGATTACATGGAACAGGAACGTCAACGTGGGATAACTATCACCTCAGCTGCGGTTACGTTCAACTGGAAAGATTATCGCTTCAATTTAATAGACACACCGGGTCACATAGATTTCACGATGCAGGTGGAGCAAACTCTGCAAATATTGGATGGTGCGATTGTAGTTCTGGATGGTTCCGCTGGTGTGGAGGCACAGACACTGACAGTTTCCCGACAGGCGGATAGATACGATATCCCTCGAATAGTCTACGTTAACAAGATGGACAGGGCAGATGGTAACTTTGACATGTGTTTACGGTCCATCGAGTCTAAATTGAACGTTGAAACGCTACCCACACAGATCCCCGTGCAAAAGGCGGGAGTCTTGGAGGGTATCGTGGATGTGATAACCATGAAGAAGCTGACGTTCGACGAAAAATATCAGGGTATGAGTGTAACGAGAAAGAAAATCACTGAAAGCGACGACGGGAAGCTGTGGGAGGTCGCCAGCGAGAGGAGACGAGCGTTGACTGATAAGTTGTCGGGCATGGATGACAAATTGGCCGACATCGTTATAGAACAGGAGTCTCTGGAGAACGTGACGGCACAGGCGTTGGTCGAGTCGTTGCGCAGCGTCACCATAGGCAGAAAAGGCGTGCCCGTGATGTTAGGCAGCTCCTACAAGAACGTAGGAGTGCAGCCTCTGATGGACAGCGTCGTCCTTTACCTGCCGTCTCCGGGGAACAAGTCGAGCTCATACCGACACTTCGGCGACGATCTGGCGGCGCGAGTCTTCAAGATCGTTCACGACAAGCACAGGGGTCCGATCACCTTCTTCAGGATCTACTCCGGCAACATGAGGAAGGGCCAGAAGCTGTACAACGTGACGCGCGAGCGGAGCGAGCAATGCCTTCACCTGTACATCGCCTGCGCCGACGATTACGAGGAGGTGGCCGAGGTGAGCTACGGTAATATCGCGGCGGTGGCTGGACTGAAGAACACCGTCACCGGCGACCTGGTGACGACGAGCGCGAACACGGCCAACCACGCCAGGCAGGCCATGCTGAAGGAGAACCCGGACCGGTCGGAGCATGTGAACAACTTCTTCGCGTCCGGCGTGAAGCTGCTGGACCCGGTGTTCTTCTGCTCCATAGAGCCGCCCTCCTTGCTAGCGCAGTCCGCCCTCGAGGTCGCTCTTCAGGAACTGCAGAGGGAGGACCCAAGTCTGCGCGTGAGGAACGATCCCGAGACGCAGCAGATAGTCCTCGCGGGTATGGGCGAGCTGCACCTCGAGATCATCAAGGAGAGGATCAAGAGGGAGTATAAGATCGACGCGGACCTGGGGCCCCTGCAGATAGCCTACAGGGAGACGGTTCAGAACGCCGTCCGGGAAACGCTGGTCACCGAGCACAAAGTCGGCAATACGAGTCACCGGGTTACCATCACGATGTCCTTGATACCCAATTACGAGGACACGCAGCAGCAGCTGCTGCTGCTGGACAAGTCCTGCCCGGACAACGCGTCGAACATCGACAACATTCATCCACGGGCGATGAACGCGATCAAGAACGGCGTGAACGCTGCGCTGCTGCACGGTGTGAAGCTGAGCTGCCCGGTGATCAACGTCGGCGTTAAGCTGCACTGGCTGGAACTCGGACGTGGCACGTCGAATACCATGGTATCCGCGGCTGCCTCGCAATGCATTCGTAAGGTGAGTCTCAAGTTACGCCCGCGATCAATTCCGCGCCGTTGGATTATTCGGAGCCTTAGCAGAACGGCCTACTTGTCATTTTAAGACAATGTTCTGTGCCTTAAGTCCTTATTTAAATTATCCTTTTTTTTCGTCATACAGTTGTTCGTCATCAATCATAGATGAAATTGGCTTTTAGTTCAAGATACAAGAGAGTCATTGTGTATCATGACATGCAGAAATATAAGTAGCAAGAAAATTGATCGATCGCATGTAGATTACTCCCCGACCGTAAGGAGAATAATCGACTGTGATTAGTCAGTTTGCTTGCTGCTTACGTTTTACCGCATAAGTTTTTCTGTGTGTCATAGCTCTTACTTAAGGCCAAAGGCATAAAACGTTGTTTTGAACTGACAAGTCAACTACTTTACTAAGATGTCCTTATTTGTGGAATTAATTTACATTATTTGTTCCCCTATATCATGATAGATAAGATACTTAGATTCATAGTCTGGATTCACTTTTATTGATAAAAGTGTCTCTAAAAGTGGGAACACCGTCTAACTGGCCGAGAAGCCACATTTAAGGCGCCTTTATCGGTAAAAATGAGTCCAGAATATGGATATTAGAATTTATTGACGACATCTTCTTCCTTTTCCGCGTAATTCTACCAACGAGATCCATGCAAATCCATCGTGGGAATCAATTCTTATTCGTCTGTTGAGAGAACTAGATTAATTTCGATTATTAGCAGAATGTTCAACGAGATAAGAGATACGTGTTCTGTACGTACAGTTGCTCGAAAAAGGATACTCCATGTTACTGGAGCCCATCATGCGACTAGAGATAGTTGTACCGCAGGAATATTCCTCGAGCATCATCGCGGACCTAACTCACAAGCGAGGCGAGATACAACAGATCGACCTGCGTGGCAACAATAAGGCGAGTAAATCCGTTTTACACTCGTGATAAATCCCAACCGCACACCTTAGATTCGCATTCTCGTGTTACAGATAATCGATGCTTTCGTGCCGTTGTCAGAATTATTGGGATACTCGACGGCACTGAGAATCGTCTCGTCGGGCAACGCGACGTTCTCATTGGAATTCAGCCATTACCGGTTAATGACTGTCGCCGAAGAACAGGAAGCGATCAAAAAATTCCAAGGATTCTAACGTTGTAAAGCCGGAAGCGAGCGAAAACGAGTAAAGTAACAGAGAGAGAGAGAGAGAGAGAGTACAATTTCATCCGGTTTTTTTTATTGACTCAATCTAATCAAAATATATTGCAACATTATTCTTGGTGCGTTACAATCTCCATATACGTTCCTCAACAGCGACCACCAAGTATGACACCGGAAAGTCTCACGGTAGTAGATCGGCCGCGGAGCATGAAAGAGAGAGAAGTCGCTAGCGCGCGCACGCCTATCAAAAGAAGAAGTCGGCTATCGGCTTCCGCGCATCATACTCCAGTAGTCGCGCATGAATATATTAATATTGCTTAAGATCATGCAAAAATGTCATACATCGTAAAATATATGTATGTGTATATATATTATAATCGTACGGAGGGATTAAATGTTATAATGTCGAGTGAGACTGGAAAAAACGACAGTCACGCGTATAAAAACCTATTTATCGTCGTCGCGGGCAATACGAAGGCGAGATACCGTAGAATTTTTCTTTCTACCATCGCAACACGCGAGATGATACCGTACGACGAGAATTCGCATTTTGTGCAATTTCCCTTACCCGCGATCTTGAAATATTTCTTCTTTGAATTATGCGAACTGCTGTAACGTGTTGTGTGTGTGGTGTATGTGTATGTTGTTGATCGATGTTTTTTTCTTCCTTTTTTTTTATTTTTAAGCGCAATTCAAAGAGCTCTTATCGTCCCTTAATGTACTTAGAAGTTGAGCTAAACATGTTTCGTCTTAACTTCTAGATCCTCGTATCGTCAAAGTGTAGAATTACAAGTATAAAATTTCCTTCATCTTTCGTTGCGTCGCTTACAAAATGACAAATCTTACTTTCTCTTTAATCCTAATTTGTTACTTTAAACATTAAATATATTCGTATCACTTGTGGATGCAGACGTTGTTACATCGGTCTGCCGATCATTTTTCTACAAGGCGCAGACAGCTTGGGCGCTTTATCCTTCCCTTCCAAACGTTATTTCTCTCTTTCTCCTACGATTTTTACATCTGCAACGAACAACAACCTAGAACAATTCGTTCGTAGATCTCAATACAAGATTACAATTCAAAAATCTCAGTTTTGCGTCGTTGTCGCCCACGTTTGTTGGCACGAAATACTGAGACCGTGAAAAAAAAAAAAAGAAAAAACGCGAATCTGCAAAATCGCTAAAATCTAAACACGACAAATCGTTCCCCTTTCTCTTCAAGGTCGATGCGTCCGTACGCAGCAGGTCGTACAAAAGGCAAGCAATGTCAACGACAATCTTCCAACAACACACCGTCGCTTTCTCTCCTAAAAAGACGCGTCTCATCCGTCGATAAATACATCGTCAACACCTCGTACAACGGCCCACCGACTTATATATTTTTTTTTATAGGAAAAAATGCATCGTGGATCACGCGCTTCCTAGTAAGCAAAGTCGCAATGAAAGAGCTTTTGACGGCGATCAAAGATTTCGTTGCAAAGCGCTCGTGGTAATACTTCGGGGTTTGATTCCCTCCTTCAGAGAAAAAAAGAAACTCGAGCTTCCTTCGCGTCATGGTACTCCCCCGTTTCTCATTCGGGATCGTCCTCCTCATTCGATCCGTGCTCCACCACGTCATCGTGGCGTCACAAGCTCACGAGCTTGGGATTCGCGTCCGGCGAGCTAAGGTCCACGGCGGACAGGTTGCTCCTCTGTTGCGTAGAGCACGACGGTATCAGGGGCGTCGTGACTGGCGTGAGACCGGTGCCACCCTCCATGAGGGAGTCGAAGTTGAACGGTATACCGCTGGTCGGGGTGGTGATCGGCATACCGGACACATCCATCGAGGTCTTCATGAAGGACGGCGTCTCCATCGTCTTCAAGGCCAACGTGTCCGGCCTGTCCTTAGGCTCCGCGAACAGCGACAGGGAATTCAGTCTGTTGTTGTTGTCGAACCCGACCGGCAGTGAATTGGGTCTATTCGGTCTCGCGGCGGCCACCATGGCGTCGCCACCCTTCGTGGGCTCGGCGAATTGATCGTCGACCGGAAGATCGGGCTTTATCACGGGCTTCACATCCGGCGGGGACGCGGATCGCAGCCGGCAAACCGCTTGGTGAGTGTTCAGCAGGAATTCCAGCTCTTCCTTCAGATGCTGCAGATTATTGATCTCCTCCTGCAGATGCTGCTTCTTCTCTTCCAAGCCCTTGGTCTCCTGCAAAAGAACGACACGTGTTAGCATGGAGCGCTCCAAACGACAGAGTGAAAGATTAACTGGCCCTTTCCAGATCACTTTCTCGTTTTCGAGATTAAGTATTCATGGTCAGATCTTACGTGTACCCGAGTAGCGAAATGACGTCATATTGCCGTCAATATGACGTTTTTTCACGTCACTGTGGTGAGGCCGGGAACACGGAAAAACTTAAGCATTGAAGAAATTGGCCAATTATAGTCGATTATTCTTAAACCATGTGGAGAATAGTCGATCGTGATTGGCCAATTTGTTTACTGCTTACGTTGGTGGTTTATGTGCCATCCGCTTTAAACTATCTTAAGTTCATCTTCAGATACCAAATGGATCATTTCATCGGTTACAAAGCACCCGAGAAGATGAACGAATAAGACGATCTGAAATATAAATTCCGACCATAAATACCGGCTTGAGTTCTCGTTCGTCGGAGTATCGCGCGATGCAAGACTGGCCGAAGTTTTCCTCGGTTTTACACAGGCGGACAACGCTAACATTTAGACTTGAATCTACACACAAACAAGCATCCGCTCTCGTTGACTCGCTTACCTCAATTAGGGCATTGGTGTGATCCATCCTTCGTTTGCGGCATCTGGCCGCTGCCATCTTGTTCCTCTCGCGCCGGATCTGTCGTCTCGCCTCCTCCTCGGGGGTCATCCCGATCGTTCTGTTGGGCCTCCTGCCGCCCATATTGCGCCTAGCCGACTGCTGCTGCGGTTGCGTCTGCTGGCTCTCGATGAGGGTGGTCGTCGGCGGGAGGTGGTGCGCCGCCGTGTTTTGCGTTTGGGCCGGGGTCGGCTGGGACGGCTCGACCAACGGCGGCACGAAGCCGGCCTCGCGACTGTGCGACGCTGACTCGCTCGTCAGCTCCAAGAAGGTCTGCTCGATGCTGCGGAGCGTGGTCGGCGTCAGTGTCGGCGTCGTCCTGGTCGGAACTCCACTGTGCAGCCCGTCCAGAGATACCAGCTGTAACGGAAAAACGGGTTAGTCGGGAATTCTATCAGTTTTCGGGATTGATTCGAGTCTGCTGAAGCGTGAAGAAACGACTAATTTTCTTCGATTCTTCATGTTGTGTAATTAAAGACAACGTCTCTTCCAGTTAATAAATTCTTACTAATATTTGATATTCTAAGGGTTTTCGGTCATGAAGAAATGCTTCGATTGGTTTCCGACGTTTCGTGAACATTTCAGCCCCTCTCTGCAGAACGAGGATCGACCTGAAACTGTTTCAGGTTGCTTCTTCACCCCGAAGAAAGAGACTGAAATGTTCGCGAAACAATCGGGAACATGAAGGACGCGGCACCAACTCGGAAGCCAAGTTGCTATTGTTATTATTACGTCAAGATCGTGCCGACGATGCGGAGAGACAAAGTGGCAGAAGAAGTCGGTCGTGTGAGAATGCGATAAAACTTCCAGATAAATCGATAAATTTCGCCCTTTCGTCCCGTCTCCCGCTCTACTTTTCCACTTTTTTTTTTGTTCATACGACGAGCGAAAATGACGAGTCACTTTCGATACGCTATTCCGAGGACTCGCTGCTTGGCGGCGCGATTTCGCTCACGTTAAAGAAATTGACACTAATGTAGAAGCGCGTTGCCGCTGCGGCGCGTTATCTTCGCCTTGCCGCGCCGATATCAGCCGGTTAATCTCACGAAGATCATTCGATAAAAATATCCGTGATCCAATAGCCGATAACGTATCGCTGCGCAGATAAGTCGGATAAATCGTTAGAGCTTCTCTCTTTCTCTCTCTTTCTTTTTCTTTCGCGTGATACCAGGGACGAGCGTCGACGCCGTTGAAATTACGCGACGATCAAACCGCAATCCCCTCTCCGCACCGATTTTTCGCGTGTCGCCTTCTCGCCGTTCTCCGTTTCTCGAGCTGCAATTTACAAACACCGCGCGCGACGCGCGTGTACATTAACGTTGCGCAATGTCGTAATTCGAGTCGAATTAAAAGCGCCGTTTCCATGCCGCGGCGGCGATCCGTCACAGCGGCGGGACAAAAAATTCGTGGTCACTCGCGATTTCATGAGAGCTCTGTGTGTGTGTGTGTGTGTGTGTGAGAGGAAGGAGAAAAGAGAGAGAAGAGGGCGAGAGGAGGGAGGAAGGAAAAGAGAGAGAGAGAGAGAGAAAAAAAGAAGAGGCTCCTCGAATCCGTCGTCTCTAACTTCGACGATATTAACGCGCGCCTCGAATCGCAGCTCACGTAGCGACAACCTCGCGGCATCATTATCGCACCGTCCAATCGCCAGTCGGGGACGTAATCTATACGCGGTGCGCGTTTCCCAGAAAGCACAAAAGGACGCAGGAAGGAGAAGCGCGTCCTTCGCTCTCTCTCTTTCTCACTTGCAAGAAGACGCACGGCTCGCTATCATTTCTAAAATTACGAACGGTCATCCTGGCGGCTAACGAAGGCCGTGTCGTCGTTGTCATCGTTGTCGCGATGGGAAACGCCGAATTGCCCGCGAACGGAACCCGAATTCGGGGCCGCATCTTTTATTCATGAAAGTTGCGCGATTGCGAGGAAAAAAAGAAATATTTTTCCAACTTACTTGTCGCTCTTTCAAATTCTTCGTTTTAATTATGCAACGGATGTCCCGCGACGTGTTTTGTCAATAACATGTTGTGTCGACGAGGGGGAGAGGGGTAATCCGATCCGCTCGATCGCGAAGTCGCGTGTGAAAATTCCGACCGTGTCGAAAAAAATGTTTACTCCCCGCTCGACGCATGTGCAGCATCGATTGATGCATCTCCCTCGGCGGTATCACGATCCATGACGGAGGAACGCGCTTCAAGTGTCATCGCTAAAATTACTTAGAGTAGCTCCGAATGGCGATTTCAGCCGTCGCGGTTGGCCACCCACCGGCGTCGTTCGCTCTCTCACCCGTCGCAAAGCATCCGCGCGCGGAGGAACCTCAGGAATGTCCACGGAGCGTTAAACTTAGGCGTTACCAAATCATGTAGCGTCACGTCCAGTACTGGAATTCCGGAAACGCGCGAGACCGTCGCGAGTGAACGCGGGGAATCGCACGGAAATCCGTGAAGTGATCGATTGATCGATCCGTCGTGGTTGCGCATGCCTTCGCCTTTAAACTCGAAATCGATATCTTTATCGAACCGTTATTGATGTTATTCGTAATTACGATATCGCGCTTTGGAGGGACGAACGTCATGACAACTCGATGATTTCTAAAGTTTGTTATCAATAGTTGTCACTTTAAAACTTGTCTCGTGCGCGAGATATTCGGATCTTAATTCAATGTTAAACTGAGCCCTTTCAGAATCGTACGACGTATTTGACGGCACATCCGTGAACGCTATTCAACTGAAAAGCTCATATTTAACTCTGATTTCAAATCTGAGTATCTCAAATGAGGCAAGTTTCAAGTGACAATTGTTAAAACGAATTTTCCGGAAAATTAATGAGCGACGAGAAAGGGAGAAAAAAGAAGTTTAAAGATGAAACTTATAATTTGTCATTAAAATTACTCATTCGTGAATTTTATACCATCACGCTACTGTATGGAATTCCGGTCGTTAATTATAATTTTGCAAATTCGAAAAAGAAAGTTGGACGAGTTTGCTTTTTGCAAATGGTTTTTTCCCGGTTCTGCTTCTTATAAAGATACGAGACACGGTACGTGAAGAAAAAATCGCGTATATCATTTCTGAAGATATCTATCATCGAAGCGAAAGGGAACACCTTCGGCGAGAAAGAGAGACGTCGGTCACTTGTTTTTCGGCCACCCGACTTTTTTCTCTCTCCCTCACGGGTCTTGATCAATTGTCTCGACCTCCGCGGCGAGTCTCGATCTTAATTTATTGCGGTGTCCTTCGGCACCTTACGATTTGGCACGGCGAAGAGTTTACGGTCTCTCGCAGGGGCGGTTCCGTTATGCTGCATCGGCGCGGTTATTATCGGTAGATAAATTTCGAGAAATGTTCAAGAGAGCAAACCGGCTTATCGAGCTAGCTGTTTGCTTTCCGCGGTCACCGAAAACGAGAGAAGGGAAGTGCGGTGAGGATTATCAAGGTGCGGCATCGAGTGTGTGTCGATAGACAGGATAAACGTAATTTTTAGAAAATGTCGAAAACATCGGAAATTCGTTTCTCGTTTGTGTCATGAATGAAACGTTTTACCGGAAGTGTAAGAGTTTCGTAGAAAAATTAACGAGCGATATTTTTCCCAATGAAAGAGAGAGGAATAGCTTTTCATTTGTGCGACTGCCGCCGTTCTTGGCGGCCTTCGGGCCGTTCACCTTGTTCTGCATTGTTCGTCGCAGGACTACTCGAACTTCAGTCGTTCGAACAAGTCATTATACGTGCATACATCAACGTTGACAAGTCTTCGCGCGTGAATCATTCGCTCTTTCGCACGACGACGACCCCGCTTTGGCACGGAGCTTCGAGAGCTTTGTTCGATATGCGGCCACGTTATTACGCGATGCGACACGATATTGTGTTTGCAGTGTAAATAAGATAAAGAGAGATGTCACAATTTCCTTTCCAGGAACTTTTCGGTACTAAAGGCTAAACGCGCAGTGTCGGTGGTAATAGCATCTTTCTTATTGTGAATATTCCTATTTGAAAGGCTAAATTTTTCACAAATTTAAAACACCAACGCATCTAACGTCACGTTGCCTTAAAAATTTCAATTCAGAAACGAACCTTTTTAATAATAATAATAATTAAATCATTTAATTCGAGCTCCGAGATATTTAAATATTAACCCTCGAATAACAAGATTGGGTCGACCGGATCTGTATCTTAATGCTTCGTAGTAAAGCGTTGTATTTCAGATATTTTATATATTTTGCGACGTATTTTATTTCCTTTCAAATATTTTCCAATTTCTTGAAAGAATATAAAGTCGCAAAAAGTAGAAAATATTCCTAACGGTCAGACCCGACTCACCTTGTTACATGTATAATCTTTTGCATGAATTACCTTGTTACTCGAGGATTAAGACGTGAATAAGAAAGACAGAGAAAAAGATAGATCAGATTTCCGCTAAGAGATAAAATCGACTTGCAAATCGGTTCGAGAAACAGCGAGAGATGAGCGTGTCGACGTAGAATAACACCGACATTCGCTGTGTTCGTTATCAACGTTGCGCAAAAGCCGAGCGAAATGCTCGAAACGTCCGAGTTAGCGCGTAAACTACGCAGAACCTCGCGTAGTAGTTCGCTATCTGTCCGCGTTTCAGCGGAATCTCTTCCGAGACGAAGCGCACGGCGCGCGACGTCGCGCTTTTTTTTTTCACAAAGCCGACGGCTCTCTGTTGGCATGCACACGCGTCTTCCGTTTCGCGATGCGGTCTCGCTCGTCGTTACCGCCCCCCTCCGTCCCCCACTCCTCCTCTTCGTCGCGCAGCGAGCGCACATGTGCGCACAGACACACGCACGTGCGCTGTACGGCGACGGCACACTCACACGTATGCCGAGCACGCACGGCGGACGATTCTATAAATAAATATGTGTTCGCTGTTCTAATCTGCCCTGAGTCGAGCGCTGCGAGCCGACGCGGACAAAGGGCGATATCAGCCACCAGAAAATCGTTGCGAAACGCAGCGTGTCAAGATAATAGTCGCGTCGTCGCCGCCGCGCCGATTTGCTCCGAAACTCTCTCAACGAGAAGCGCGCAAAAGCGGACGAGCGCCCACATCGCATCGCCGGCGTAATTCTATACCGCGGAAAATAGATCCCTCGGTTAGAGCGTCGCTTCCAGAGCGAGGACGATAGACTAATTGCGATCGAAGCCGAAAAGCGGCTCGGCACGCGACGTCGCGCGATTGTACGGTGATCGCGACCGTCTCTGCCGACGCAATCGTCGCTTCTATCTGTGATGACGTTGTGATTTCTCTTTTTGAATAATTAGATGGGCGTTTGATGAGAGCCGGGCTGGGAAATAATTGCCAAAGTTAAACAATTAATGGACTCATTTTCCAGATATTTCGGTCGTACCGACCTTGCTCGGCGAAAACTACTAACTGAACCTATAAATGAATATTTTTTTATTTTTTAGATATTTTTTCTCTCAGTGTGACTGGGCAGTGAGTTAAATATCTTTAATTTTCGCAACCATTTCACCAGCGTCGGGTCTTGGCCTTTTCCAATTGCTCAAGGATTGTGCATCCTGAGAGCCAGCCTTATTTATATATTCTTCTTTATCGTGTCTTTTTTCAGTTGCAATCCTCGAGTTTCGATCGTAAGTATGCGCGGTACGTTGAAAGTGAAGTCCGCCGTACATCGTCTGCGCGATTTTTTCGAGTACATACACGGCGACTGCTCGCTTGTCAAGTGCGTTCTCGTTACTGTTATAATTTGCAACGGTGCCAACGTCGGATTAATTGGCCATGTTCGTTTCAAACGCCCCGGCGCGCAGATTAATGGAGCTCGCACTTGCGCGCTCTAATAATAATCGAAGCGTCTCTGTAATTTTGTTTCCACGCCTTACTACCCGTCAATTGGAGCCTCGAAAAAAAACAGTCCGTACGCGGCGCTGGAAGTTCAGACTGGCGTGATTCGAACAGACCGAGAGAGAGAGAGAGTTACAGGTCGGTGCGCGATCAGCTGATATTTCGGGCGCCACACGTTCGATCCGCTTCAGGACGAACGCAAGGCCGACGCGCGAATGTCCCATTGCGAAAAGAACAAATCGTCTTTTGTTCGGCTCGCGTTTCGCGAATATCCCCACCCATCCCTATCGAATGCATGATCGCGCAAACGACTCCCCGGTACGCTGCTTTTTCACCGAGACGAGTGGAACTTCCAACGATATTGCACAATGTTGCACAATTCCCCCCGCATCGCAATCATCACCCATCCCGCATAAGCCGGACTTGGCGGCCGCTCGGGAGCTTTCTCTCTCGTCAAGTTCACAGGAGTTGCGCGAATCATTTTCCCCGGTTCGCTGCTCGCTCGATCAAACGACCCGTGACGACAACGATCCGCCGCGATCGACGGAACTAATCGAGGAAGAGAGAGAGAGAGAGAGAGAAAAGAGTCCGGTGAATGAAGCGCGCCGAGCCGCGAGGACACGCGCGTGCCAGCCGCCGCGTTTATTTTAGATCAGAAACGGATCGTCGCCGGAGGATGTGCCGCCACACACCGTCGCTGATCGTCTCTTTCGGGGACCCTCCTCACGCCGAGTCGACAAAGAGCCACTTTATTCGCGCGATCACAACGAGATCGAATGTCGTCGCGCGCCGTCGAACGCGGTCCACCACGTATGAGTTTACGCGGGTCGTCGGTGCGCGCGATAAATATTTCCCGAGCATGTTCTTCACTCAGCAACGGGTGGTCCTCCGTTGATAGATCTCGGCCAGTCGAAACGCGCGAGATAATCCAGTAATTGGCCGTCGCGGGGGAGTTCGAAAACCACCGTTGTTCATTTCCGGCCAGAGGAGCGGATTATCGAAGTTTGATTAAGAACGCTCGTTCCACTTGTTCGACGAAGAGTGAAGATATCGTCCCGTCGGGAACCTGAGCGACACGCTTCGAGGAACGCTCGAATTTGACGTTTGTTGATCGCCACGAAGCGATTATCTAATGCGAACGCGTGTTCCGAGGAGCGTGGATCTTTCATTTCCCGGGTAAACTTGTAAATAAGCGCGATCTCTACTGGTCTCGGGGGATGTTTCCTACGATTACCTGCTGATAAAGCAGTTCCTGCGCGAGTATATTCGCGATGTCGACTGGATCCATGGCGGTGGCTGCCATAGCTCGAGGGGTCGGTTATTCGTTCAGTGTTCGTTTCGTCGTCAAAAGTATGACGGTGAGATAGTGGACGGGATGGGTGGAGAAAAAGGGTGGAAAAAAAAGAGGAGAGGATGAGAGAAATAAAATAAAGGGGAAATCAGGGTGGAAGAGTGGGAATCGGGAGGGAGGGGGCGATGAGGAAGAAGAGAAAATGATATATCTCAGTCGATCGTTCGTTCGTGAGAAGATCGTTCGGGCGTCGGTGTGCGCTTCGTTCCTCCTTCAATCTCTATCCCTAACTCCCTTCGGCAACCGCCTATTTCGCGGCGTCCGCACCACCCTCATGCGCTCTTTTCTTCTCACTTGTCGAAGAGTTCGTCGTCACTACTGCGTCTTCCACCGACGCCTCTTTAATACTGAGCGGCCGATGCCGACGCTGCTCGTCGCGTAGCCTTACGCGACGAGGAAACCTATCCTAAAAATAACCTTCGAATTTCGAGTATGTGCGCGGCTCTGCGATGAACGTGCGACGAGGGAGAGAGAGAGAGAGAGAAGGAAGAGTGGGGGGCGGGGGAGAATAACACATCTCGCAGCCTCGTCGATCTCACGTGCGTGGAACATTGACCGCTTAAAAAAGACCGTCGCGTTCGTTAAAAACTCTTGAACCTCGTGTGCCTGTTTGATCGCCCGAATGATTCTTCTTTATCAGCCACCGATCTGATATCGCGTTACTCGATATATTTATCTTTTAATTTTAAACGCATCCTCAATCTTGCGCGCGCATCAAACGCCTGAATTAACTGTTAAACTGTCAGACACGGCTCTGAGTCACGATGCGAATATTTGGACGTGATGCGTTTGTTCGAAACGCGTAAGTCTGAACTGGAAGGCGTCGATGACGCCGAGAGATTGAAAGATGATTGAATTTCAAATTCGCAGTCGCAAACCTGCGTTCACGGAAATTATAGCGTCCTTCTACAAGTAATAATTAAATTATTTCGTTGTGTAAGAATGAGATAACACATTCATATGTAAAATTTTACACGCGTTACCGTTGATGCAGGCTCGAGTCATGCTCTGAAATTCGCGATTTGCAATTTGCACAACGGTAAATAAGTTTCGACTGTTTACAACAGCGGGCCGCGAAAATTTGGGAAAACAGACGGAATTTCTGCTGACTTTGTCCCCGATCAGCGGTTTTCCCGGTACGCGCGAAATTTCCTATTACGCGGCCGTCTGGAGGCTCTTAATTAGTTCGCGTTCTAAGTTTAACATCTGTGTAGGGTCGTTTGTCGTCGACGCCGGTACGCCGCGATTCGTCGACTTGGGCCCGCGCCAGATCTCCCGCCATCGGCGATCTCAAGCGTGAAACGCTTCAATCTCGAGAGATCGAAAACCGCAAAGTAATGATCGCCACCGTCTCTCGTATCTACTTACGATGATAAGCGCAAAAAGGAGAAAAAAATTGGTCGGGTAAAAATTAGCGGCCTCGTTCGCGTAAGTATATCAAGCCGACCGCGTAAACAGGGCAATGAATCGTGCGTGGTTTATCCACCTACATCTTGGACTAATATTTTTGAAGAACGCACACTTTGACAGAAATACGCGTATGTTACGAAAAAAAATATAAAATACACGAAATTTTTATGTTTCAAGCGAAAGACGCGTATAATCCTCGTTTTTTTCCCGTGTTATATCGTTTGCGCGTGTGTGTGTGTTCTCCCTGTAATAATTTAAGCTCTATTTTAACATGCCGGGGAAACCAGGGAGAAACGGAGGCTTGAAACACTCGAGTCACGTTGGCTGGAGTTGTTTATCTATCGCGCATGGACATTTCCAGGATGTGGCTCGTCGTATCGCGTCGTTAAGAAGCCGATGCGGCGCCACGACGATATAGCGGACCTTACTTTAGAAATATTTTGGACGGTTTCGTACAGTTTTTATGGGCCGAAAACCCATTTAGCGCGCTACTGCAAATGTCGAAATGCCGAAACTTCAGCGCGATAGCTAAACGCGAGTAAATCTGCCAAGTATATATAATTAAAATATCACCGGTGAAATTTCAAACTAAAATCCTGAATTTTTTAGATTCTCCGGGGAATTTCGCGCGAATCGTTTCCCGTATTAAAAATTAAATGTATAAGAAGAATATGACTCGCTCCCGAGACGGTGCGTTTCTTCGTTCCACGCGTCTGACATTCCTTCCGCCTCGAAATCAATACCGCCGCTCTGGTAAAACCTGTTCGCTTTTGTGTCATTTGGAAGCGAGGCACTACGAACACGAGATGGACATTCAAGACCGGCTTATCTCGGCTTGATATGAAAACACGTGGCAGCCAGGTTACGATAAACAATCCGCGTGTTTGACCAGTCGAGCTTGTCGCAGGTTTCTCGCCAACATTACACATGCACACTCTCCGATGTAACGATAACAACGCATGAAAGATCGTCGTGCTCGTTGTTAACGGTGTAACTTAACACGAGGCGCGCGCTAGCAAACTTTCAGCGATATTCGGATTTTTTTGTCGTGTCATTCGAGACTCGAAAACTCGAGTGTAAACAAACTGCCCGCCATGTTTTGCCAACCTCCGCGAATATCTTCACAGACCTCCCGCTTTCATCATCCTCAGTTAATTATTTTCAAGTTCCATAGTTCAGAAGCTTCTTAAACGCTTATGCCTGTCTATACGTCGGATTATAGTTTTAAAGTTTCGAAAAAAAAAAAATCGTTTTCTTCCAATATTTCCGCGGATTTTTCCGCTTTCTGTCTCAAGGATAAAAAAATGCGTTTAGAAAAATTCACGCGTGTTCGGTTAAAACCTGCCACATTTTCTTCTTTCCGTAAAGAAGATAAGAAACTAAAAAAATCCGCCGAGAAATGAAGGAAAATCGGGTTTTCTTCGAAACTTTAAAATTATATATTAGATAGGTCAATTTCGCCTTTTTATCGAAATAAAAACGGAGGTGTTGAGTAATCGAGCGCGAGAGAACCTGCACAGAAAAAAATGCTGTTGCATCAGTAAAATTTCTAAACGGTGTAATTGGAGTAAATCTGGATTCAATGGCAAATATTGTTAAAACTACTATATTATGTATTGTTTTAATAATTAAAGTATTGGTTTCAACAACGATATCGCTATTGAATCGAGAAGATTTACGTATATATACGTGCTGTTGGAAATTCTATCGATTCGATAGAATTTTCTTGTTCGTGTGCGAGGTCGCCCTTGTGGATTCGTTCTTGCTATCGGATCGGCTCCTTTCATCGGTTTGTATTCGCTTCAAGATTACGCTTACTTTTTATGCAACGGAGCGCGATTACGTAACGAGAAGTTCGAGCGAATCAACATCGAGCGCTGAGAGAGCCGTTCTGCAATATTTATTTGCGCGTCTAGCGCACTCCCTCCCCTCCTCTTGCCGCCCTTCGCGTGCGCGTGAGCGATTAATCGTGCCACTATTACATGGTAAATAATAACGCAACTACGTCGGCAACAGCAGCAGTAGCCGTGTTCTCTGTACGATCGTCGCGGTCGACGAAAAAAGCGCGGTCGAAAGCCGCCGCGAGCAGCCTTGGATAACAAAGGAAACCTTTATCTTCACCACCATTTCTGCCGTTTTTAACGCTTCCGCTGGCGGGAGCCTTGACGCGCTTCACGTCTATTCGATACTCAATTTCGCAATTCGCTCATTAAACCCGTCTATTGAGATAACGAGAAGCGATAAGAGCCAAATATACAACACGATTTTCCACTTCGTTCCGTTGCGTCACCGTACATGTGTATTCAAATCGGCGAATACCACTGCGCTTCCCGATTCCACGTGAGAAACGTCGTTTCGGCCGATCGGAGTCTCGTTGTTCTTTATTCCATCGCGAAAACTCGGCCGAGTCTACCGGAATCGTCGAAAGACTAATTTTAAGTTGCAGATGAATAATAATTTCCGTCATACATGCGCATACGTTACGGCAAATTGGCGCGTTTCCGCGAGTTGAAAGGACGGTTCTTTGAGACGTCGACGGAGTCGAACGTGTCGACGGCAGTGGCACGTCGAGAACAAAGAATGTAAACATGATAACGGACTGCGAGTGTGTGTTCCGAATGCGTCGCAATGACTTTTCATGTTGCACGCGCGCGTATCGAACGCGACGCGACGAAGTGCGGGTGTGCCGTTTAAATGCAGAGGGTGGGAAGAGAGAAAGGAGAGGGGGGGGGCAGAGAGAGAGAGAACAAATGGAAAGCACGTTATTAATACAAGATCCACGATTCTATACAACGCTCGACGAAAAAGAAAACAATTAAAATAAAAGATTTAAATTAAAATTAGACATAAATTAAATTGAAATGAAAATTAAGAAATAAATTAAACTGAAACATAGAAATTTGAACAGAAATTACAAAATAAATTACATAAATAAGGAAGCAGTAAACAGGATGTAACTTCAGCGTAACGTTGACGAGGACTTAACTCACCATTTTACAGGAATTTATCTAGTTGCGCGTTGGTCGCGACAATACAACAGCACCACTGCAAGCGAGAGATAACGTAATCGAAAGAAGTTAAACGGGGCGAAAATTTCTTTCGACGTATAAGGAACGCAGAGAGGAGAACGCGGTGTATGGTTATTAAAAAGGAAAGAAAAACGCGAGAAAATATTTCGTAACGCTCACCATTATGCAACCGCTCGAATGTCGAGCTGGTGTCTCTCTTTCTCTCTCTTTCTCTCTCTTTACAGCCGCTTTATCCTGCTCCGGCCGAGTAGGAACTCCGCATGCGCTGTTTACGTGATATACAGAAAAAATATAGACATGCAACGCGATTGAGATTTCCCGGAAAGCGACCACGGGCCGCTGGTGTGTGGTTTCGAGTTCTACATAATCGTCGGAATGGCGTCCCACAATTCGAAATGATCGGAGAGACAATCGCGGAATAATTTCTCGTGGTATTATCATGGCCGGTGTTATTTTTACGATTTTTTATTTTCTCCTTTTCCCGTTGCACGCGATTTCGAAAATGCGACGAGAAGGATTTCTGCGTCGTGCACGGATGCACGACGATATGCTATTATATATCGCGATTATCTAGCATAATGTGACGTCAATCGGCGCGGCGGTGTCGTCACATATATTTTTCGGGACGACAGTAAACGATACGGTGAAATTCCACGCGAATGCCACGACAAATATTACCCTGCGTAGCGTGATACGATATAAATTATCTATTCCCGGAAATTAAATGGGAAATCAACTGTAATAGCCTCGAGTATTTGTTACGACTGGATGTTAATTATAAATGTATAACGTTATATTTATATGTGAAAGTCTAGCAAATCTAAAGTGAAACTTGCGACGGAACTTCGTAAGATGCATGCTGAGCCTAAGCATGTTTCCTGGTTGTCCCTGATGCGAGATATTCCTGCGCTGCAGATATTC